ATAACGGGAACATATGCCTAATATTAAAGCTGTATTAAAAACGAATTCAGTATTTGTGAGATGAGTTACTGCTACATACATGGAAAATCGAGTCATTAGGGGGACACTTTGCAACAGCTGTTAACATTATTGTTATAATGCAGACTACAGTTGTGACTGAGGTCTCATGTACAAACTATTAAGCTTCAGAAAGCATAAGATGCTGTTTATAGATAATGATGTCTGTAAGGATTACTGAGCATAATTAGGCTGGCCTCTTGTATTTCAAAGGTTAGAAGTATATATTCCTCTTTCCCTTAGAGTAACCTATAGGAGCATTTGTTTTCTTTTTCACACTTTGTTCATTCTTCCACCATTGCCCAAACTGTCTGGTAGGATCTAATATACAATGTAAATTCACAGATAAATTAAAGAAGCAGCACCGAGCTAAAAGGAACCACAAAGAGATGTTCTCAATTTCTCAGAGAAAAACAACTGTTAAACTGCTAGTTTGTTTGTTTTTTGTTTTAGACCACATTTGTATGTTTCCCCAGCAAAAGTGAAAAAAAAATGTGAAAGCAATAATCTCTCTGCCTTTTGCGGCTAACACATTTGATACCTCATTTATAGAAATTTAGCAATTGATAATGCAGTTTGTCTAGAGAAAGTATTACCCTAGCTAGTAGCGTTACATACTTGAAAGCTTCTTAAGTACTCTGAAAAGCAGGCATTAAGTCCCTAGCTTATTTTGATTTCAGTCTGCTGAGAAATGATCAAAGTTCCTAAATGTGATATTCCTTCTCTATCAACCTACAGTGTTTGAAATTAAAAATGTTAGTAAAAGGAAGAGGTGCTACATTCGGTGATTCTCAACATGCCTTTACTGCAGATCTCACGTTTCTACATTTGTTGTTGAGGGTACAGACAGCTGACTAGTAAGTAAAGTCTTACTGTTAGGGAGACAAAGGATGTCCATTTATTCATATCAAGCCCAATATTCACTATTCTGCTATATATGTAAGCAAATCTTGGCTAGAAGAAATGATCCAGCAAACTTAGAGTAACCTTGCTCTACTTTATGTGCTTCTTACATCTTCAGGAGAGGAAGCTTTCCACATGCTATGAAACCTGCTACTTTAGATAAAAGTGGCCATAGCAAAATTTGCACTGTGGGTGTCTCTCAGCACTTCAGTCTTTCAAAATATAAAGATTAGACACCTTAGTACTTAAATATTGGAATAACAGATGATTTTGAAGTGAAAGAACAGCACTATACAACATTAAATGGATAGTAGCCTGTCCATTTCTGCACAGATATTCCTCAGGAAAATAATCTAACCTCAGAGTTAGTGATGTGACTTTTTTAATTTAAAAAATGTAATTAATGTTATATCCCATCAGAAGTTTAAGAAGCCAAGTCAATTCAATGTAAGGTTTTCTCTTAGTAAAAACGTTGTCTCTATGACCACGCACCAGTACTCCATTTAAGAAAAACATACTTCAAGTTTTGTATTCACAAACACAGGTGAGGGTCAGTACTTTCTATGCTATGTATTGTTTAACTGGCCTCTTTTATGCAACGTTTGGGGGAGACATTAATACAAATACTGTGCAGTACACGATGACTGAAAATTACCTGGGCTGCTGTACCTTGGACCTCAGTCACTTTTCTGTTTCTGTAAAAAGTGAGAGAGAAAACATATTCCTTTTCTTAGACCTACTTGACAAAGCAGGATCTACTGCAGGGTGCTCAGTAAATACGAATCAGTTGACCTTTAAAATCATATGGATTCTTACAAGTAGAGTGCTTTTCTTTCTTTTTTACCTGCAAACGTCATAGACCAGATCCATTCAAGAAGCAAGCTCTTTGAACTAGATTTCTCCTCCATTAAGAGACTTAGGGAGCCTGGATTACATCAGCTGCTTCTATTTTCAGCTTTCTTCTCTAGGTAACTGACCAGTCTGTAGAAGATACTGAAGGCTGTGAGCTGACTCAGAGTCTACTATCCTTTTTAGGCAGATCTTCCTTTCCAGCCATGTACCTGCAAAATGTTGTGACAAATTCCTGTAAATTCTGTCCAATAATTTAATGCATTTCCCAAAGTAATTTCACATCTTCTTGGGGTAATAAAAGTAGATTTGTAAAATTCTATTATTGCAATTGTCCTCTCAATCCGTGTTAAATCTAGCAACCTATACTTATTGAGGATAAATAGTAGGAATTTAATGAATAGAATCATGTGAATTGTTTATTTCACCAGGTATCTTCTGTGAGTAGACACTCCTGTTTCAACTGAGCAGGGTGCCCCAACTGAAGCAGCACATTCTGCACCCCTCCACCAAGTGTCAGCAACAAAATTGCATCAATTTAAACAAATTGGTAAACCCCCGTAACTACAAAGGCAAACCCTGTATGACAATAAAGATTTCTCAAGTCTTAATCAACCTAGCTGTAGTTTAAATATTTGTAGAGTTGAAAAGGTTTCTGTTGAGACCTCACAATTTGTGCTGAATCACAGGACCCCCCTCTCCTTAGTCTTGCTGGAGATAATGAAATGGTCAGCCTAAAGTAAGAGAGCTTTTCTCTGGTGCGCTTGGTTACTGGTTCTATAAAAAATAATCAAACGCCAAGCGTGCAGACATCTGAATAGTTCACTTGACCTCTCCTAAAGAGGTCTCTATCCCATGATTGGATGTTATAATCCTATTTGATCTCCAGCAAGCCTGTGCATGCAAGGGGGAGTGGAAAAATAGCAAGGAAGAAATAATCTTTAGAAGTACATTTTCTTCTTTGCAGCCAGCTCAATTTTATACAGGGCAGATTAATTAAACCACAAAGAAGAAAGTGTTTATTTTTGTTGTTGTTCAAAGGGCTTTTTGTTCTAATTTTGGGACGGAAATAGCACAGAAATGTAAACTTTTTAAATGGTTTCTGCTGAGCTGTCCAGCTACATTTCCATCAAAAATCTCTCCCAAACTCTCTCCCATGACAGTGAGGGGCCTCACTACCAGGCTAGCATCCCATGCAACTGGGACAGCAAGTCACTGCTTGACCCCTCCTCATGGAAACACCTGACAGCTACCTGCTGCTGGCCTGGGAGCCACAGGGCTGGCATGGGCTTGAGTTGTCAACATGTTAGCCAGGGCTTCACAGCAGGATTAATTCGTTGCAATTTTAATTCCTGCCAGTTTGTTTCTCCCATGGGGCAGCAAGTTGGTGTGAGCCCAGCACTGAGCTACACCTGTTTCCAGCTCGGCCCTTTGAACCCAAGCTGCCATAATGACTGTGGGAAGGCCAGCACAGATAGAAACTGAAGAAACAAGGCTTTTTGTTTGGCTGACAGTGAAGTAGCACAGCTTCTCTTCTGGTAAGGCTGATTCAAAGCAGCTGCCTCTTCCTTTCAAAAGACAGGGTAGCTTTGAAAATCTGTAAATATAAAGGTGCCCTTTAGGTTTTGGCACAACGCGATGGATTTGGAAAGCTGGAAGGGAAAGATCAGGTGGTAGCATCAGAATTTCACCAAATGGCTAGGATTTGTCTGTCCTACTCCTGTCCCTATCAGCACCTCTTAAATTCAAGGTTTTTCTAAACATAAATGATTCTAGATGGATCGTCCACTACTTAAAGACCCACGTTGCCAGCTCTGCTTCCTCTTTTCACTTTCACACAAACACAATCCTATTGCAAATCCAATTCTCTTACCAGTGCTAGGTACTCCCCCCAGGGAAATGCCAGGTTTGTTAAAGAGTGGCACAGCATCCAGCCCAGCAGTCCAAGGTTGCCTGAGCAGCATGCCATCTTCCTCCATTAGAAAGAGGAATTAGTGTTCAAGATTTTTTTATTATTATTTTAATGTCAGTGTTAAAACCTGAATTCTTGTCTTCCTCCCTTAGTAACTCCAGTAGCTGTGGTAGCTATCCTAGTTAGAAAACTGCATGTACTAAAGCCCTGTTTTCTCCTGATTTCTTACATTATTTTTGAAATCAAAAGTACCTTATAGCTGACAATCTGAAATGAGTATCCTCCTCCCAAGCCTTTGTACAACCTGAAGGCAAAAGTCAAGTTCTTTAATACAAAGTATGAGACCTGACAGACTTGGAACCTTAGCTTCAGTTTTGACATTGTTTATTTCCAAGCAGTGACTATGTGCTTTGGAACTTACTTGGTGAAACAGCTCTCACTGATGTTTATAAGGCCATCTAAAATGCACCCGACTCTGCTTCACCACTGATATGCGCCAGCTATTCTTGCAAAACCTCAGCCATGAGCTCTCAGCTTCTCACAGGGAAGAGAGTAAATACAAGTAGGTGTACCATAACCCTAAGTACAAAATGAAGCAAGGGAGGTGTTAACCACAAACAGCTCTCTCTTCAGTGAGTGCCTACTGGTTCCCAACAGCAAGCTAAAGATGGTATGCACAAAAAATTATACGCTATAATACTTAGAGTCTGCAGGCATTGCTACACCAAGCCCCAGTCTAATCATAATGACTTGGGAAAAGTCACTGTAGCAGTCGGTGAGTTACTTTTCAAAGCAGGCGTTTTACACAACAATACAGATTTCAGCTTTTGCAGGGGGAGGACAACGTTCTTGCATCAGTGTTTCATTCAAATTGCATTTTGCTTCCATTTTTCCAAAGTTTGGCTTTGTTCCTTCAAGTGGTGATATATGAATCCTACCCTGGAAGGAGACAAGATCAAGTTTGTTCAAAACTAGTATGTAAAGATAACAATAGCAATGAATTATGAACCTGATACATAAAACTGTGTTGAGTTTTAAGTGCAATTAATTGCTTTGCTGATACCCTTCACTTGTTCCAAATGGCCATAAAACATAGCATTCAAAGAGCTGTTGCATTTCATTTTTATGGTAGCTAATATGATACTGACTTTATAACATTCTTACACATATTAAAACTGTTCCAAAAATAACATTAACACAAATAGTTAATTAGCATAATTCAGTGCTGAAAAAGAAAGAGAAAAAAAATATAACACCAAAAAAAACACAAACTAAAACATGCCCTTGGAACAGGTTCCTTTATTAAAAATAAGACAGAGCCCCACACAGTCACAGTATAATCCATTTATTAACATATCTCATGAGCCATTGGTGTTGATCCAAGGGACTCAACAGTTTTGGCAACAGCCTGATTTTAGAGGTACTCAGTCCCCAGTTAGTAGAAAGGGGTTTTAATAGGACTGAGTGGGCTGAGTGTTCCTCCTCGATGTAGGGAATTAAACATTTTCTTGAATAATTAAAGCCCAAGACATTGGTCCAAGTCACAATGCCTCATTGCACAGGGAGCTGTCCCCAGCTGGTAACCACCAGGGGCTCTTCTGTTCCTGTGTCCACATTCTCTAGGTACAAGAAACTCCCAGCAAATCTATCAACTATGGTGTTACTTAAATACAGTTCATCTGCCAAAAGCTTTCCTCTGATTGTTGAAGATACACATAAAAAGTTGTCTTCAAGTGACTGATGGATCATCACAACTTCAGGATATTGGTTTCAGAAAGGAAGGCAGATAGACAAAAAGCAAGCCTAGTTCTCCTACCCCTGAGAACGCAAATATCCATGTTCCCGTCTCCTAACCAATCACTCCGCTAATACCTTTGAGGAACTGATCTACTATTCTCTGCTATAAAGGTACAAGGATTACAAGAGTAATTGACATTCTGTCCAGGTTCATAAACAGCTGCCTGATTAATTATAGCACAGAACAACTCCTAGAAATCCTCTGAACAGCATTCAACTGCACGAATAGGTTAAATCTTTAACCCAGCTTCAGCTGGCCAAAGCCTGTGTTGGTGTCAAGACAGGGCAGACGAGGGTACCCAGGCAGGCACTACAGGTCAGGGCAACACCAGCACTGGGTCAGCCTTCGCAGAGCACCAGGGCATTCTCTTAGGAAGAGGGGTAACCGGAGCATTAATAGCTGCTCCTTCGACACTTCACATACACACCACCTAGTCACCTGTCTGTCTCACACAGCCAGTGTGTACCACGTTGCTACAGGAACTTGTCTCACACAGCGTTCCCATGGCACAGTGCAGTTGCCAGCAAGAGTAACTGAGCTGTCAGCTCCTAGGAGCGCTGCCTCATTCCACTGACTAATGCTGCTAAGACAGACTGCCTCTGTCCTACAGGTATGTCAGCCAGGGCAACACTCCACACAGATCAGCAGGTGTTCTCTGCCCAGAGCTGCGTTATGCTCCACAGACATACCTACAGCAACTGCTCTGAGCTTAGAGGTGCTGCTGCACCTGCCGGAGACACAGGGTAAATTGACCTTGGCTGGTGTTCTCCCCATTGTAGCTGCCACCAAAACTATACCAGCAAGTTTAAAGTTACCTCCAGTATACATACGTAATATACATACAGTGCTGAAATCACTTACAGCATTGCCTACTATAGAAAACAGTACTGAAAATCATCAGCAGATTATTTTCTCAAACTGTATTCAGTTCTGGCTACCAAAGCTTAAACACCAGCAGAAAGAGAAGGCATGGAGAGACAGTTAGCATCTTATCAGATAGATGGACAGTTTGAGTTGAAGAGAAACAGAGAAGCCACAGTTTTAGGAAGGGAACTATCTGTAGAGTAAAAGATGACAATATAAAGCAAGGCCCCTTATTTCCACTTACAGCTGAGAACACATGGATAGATGGGATTCAATGAAAACAAAAGGCAATTCATTCTGGATCTATAAAAAGAAACAATGTGCTACAGAGTATAAAATGATATTGGTTCTCATTGCCAGAAAACACTGAGGCTTAGTTGGATTAAAGAAGAGATTAAACATTTATATGGAATATGAAATTTGGTTAGATTAAACATTTTTTAAAAAGTTAGGGAGATGAACTCTGACATTTAGGAAAATTTAAAAAAAATAGTGCACAGTGTTTGTGCAATACCTAGAAGGCTGAGTACTTGCACTTTTATTTTAATCATGATAGCAATGCAAGTGATTAACTTAAACGGGCCACAAAATTTCCCAAAAGAGAAGGCTGTTAAAACTTGCTCAGTAAAAATGCACACGCACTGTCCTTTGAAATGTCTGCTGCTGGGCAACATTAGGTACAAAATACAAGTCCTGAGTAGCTGGGTGCTACTCATCCAACCAGATAATTCCAGTAAGCCCAGCGGCAAAGTACGTGAGTTTGGCTTGGGCTGCAAAGAGCGATAGTGGTGTTCTGAAACAGGTCAGGACAACTGAGGAGAGTATTTGCAGGCTTGCATACAGTACAAGTAAGGTGCAAAATTAGATGGAGATAAGATACTTCTTTCCCTCCTCCTGGCTCCTGCAGGACTCACAGAACATTAGCTACAATGATTCTCACAGTTTTCACGGTGACAAAATCCAAGAGAAATATTTTGGGCTGGAACATGGGAATCTCAGGTTACACTGCCAGGCCTGTCTCATACTTGTTACATGGTCATTTTTAATAACTCCTGAACGGCAACCAGTAGGCTTAAGGAAATAATCTTACAGTTTCAATCCTTTCTAAATTTCTATGCCTCTTTGGGTTATAGGCATGAGCTGGAAGATCAAACCAGGTTAAGCTAGAGGTGTGACAGCACTCAAGGCACCTGCAGCATTCTGGTTTGGGAAGCTGACAGTTAAAGCCAAATCCCTTTCTATTCCCAAACAGGTACTGCTACTGCTGGCGTGGAACTTGGGATTTAACGCCCTGCAAGACAAGAGGTCTGTAATGTAATTGTCCTCGGTCCTCCTTTTGTTTTAATTCCTGGGTGATAAGGAACAGTCTTCAGCTTATTTCTTAGGGACTCTCTGCCAGCAGGTGTAGGACAACTTAGCCAGCATGGAGCCAAGCAGGGCACTACTGAAGGACCAAACCTGGCTCTTCAGACAGGGTTATCAGCACAAGCCAACTGCAGACATTCAGCCCCACGAGAAGAGGCACCAACAGATCAGATCAGTCTCAAGTGCCAATTTGCAGGGGTTCTTACACTGCATGTTTTAGAGATTCCTATAATTCTTTTTCAAAGTAAAGTTTCCAAGCAGGATATTTAAACAGCCCATTGCAGCAGCTGTAACCCAACTGCCTTGTAATCTACTGGAGAGAGTAAATGCAACTGTTTGGTTTAACATTCACGCACAACAACCAGATACCTCACCAGGTCAGCACCTTTAGATTAAGCTGCTTTATAGATGACAGATGAAAACTTTAGGCAACCACTGCTAGTTGAATCCAAGACAATTTCTAGGACGCTGTCACCACCCGTCCAGTGAGATGACACGGCTAATCCACAGGCTGCACTCTGCCTTCCGTTCTCGCCTTGCTAATCCCTAGGTACCGAACACCTCAGTGCCTGGAGTCCACACCTCCCAGACAGCAGGCCAGTGTCTGACCCAATCAATGCCCACACCACGGTGCATGAGGGAGCCCCAAACATGCACATTTGGCACAAGTTCCACATGTCCCATACCATTTTATTAGGCTATGTTTGGATCATCAGTTATGCAGCAAAGCTGCTCCTGAACAGACTTCTCTCTGGCTTGGCCACACAGCTAGAACACACTGTTGTGCATTGCACAGCTGTTAACACACTTAGCCCCTCTATTTGTATATTTCTTTACGCACTCAAGAACAATAAGTTAGCTTCCAAAAGTAAGGAAGACCTAAGAGTAGGAAACTATTCACTTGTTTTGATAAGAGGGAAGGAAGAAATTGAAGTATTCAACAACCCCTGCTTTCTCTCAGTATTTTATCTGTTCAGGCTGAAAGGTCTGAGCCTAAACTATAGCTTAATGGCACTGCTCTCATACTCTTAAACCAGTTTACTTTCACTGAGAGGAATGAGAAGAGAAATAGTGCAGAGAGAAGAGAGGAAGCATAGTCCAAAGGTTGCAAGAATAGCACACACTTCAGAAAAGCAGGAAGCTGCTTCGCAGCACGCTTGCTGTTTTACACCTCAAGCAAATTACTCACTCCTTGTGTTTGTTCTGTACCTATACCCCAGCGTATTCCCATGTTTCACGGGAGAACTGTGAACACAGAGATGTTAAAGACTAAGAGCACAAATAAAGGGCAGTTAATAACTATGATGACTAAGGTACCAAGAGAAAGTCCCTGCCATGCTGTTAAATTGTGTCAACACCTGTTTGAGATTAACATTATATTTGGATTTAAAGGAAAGTAACATGTCTATTCAGCCTTTTGGGGTCACATTTTTAAATTATTCACAGTAATCATGAGGGCAAGAAAGCTGTTGTCTCTTAAAAATGAAGATTTACTCTCACACAAACAACTGATTTCTGGAGACACTACTTTATGGAAAAACAAACACCAAAGAATCACTATATTGAGAAAGCAGCAACAAAACCATAGCATCCGACAACCAGAAATGTGTGGCATGGGATTACAACTGGAGGGATAAGCACCTCTTAGGAGGGACAGACACTAAAGGAATCATGTTGCAGAGGATCTGCTATTCAGAAGTGAAAAGGTTCCCCCTAGAGATCTAACAAGGAAGGAAAAAGAACCCAACTGAGCCTGTTGATCAGCTCAGGTCAAATCTTCTGATTCCTGCAACTGAAGAGAGACACTTTATGAAAAAATATCTGAAGATTTCCACTATGCCAGAGCCTGTTGCCATCTCCGAGCATCTCACCTCCCCTTTCAGTGTTTTTCAAATGTTAAACATAGAAAAATTGGGTAATAGATTTACTGAGACAGGCATCTCCAATTCTACCTTTTCTGTGAGCCAGGGCAAAGGAGTAACTGCAACTGCCTTACAGGACTTGGATGGTCAGAGCAACACAGACTTATTTGCCCTACCAGTGTACACCTGCTTTCTCTGCTCAGATATTTGGGACTAAAAGGAAACCAAAGAAAGAATCATCCATAACTGGTTTTATCCCAGTTCTATATTAAAGTCTTTTCCCAGCGTCCAAATGACAACATAAACCTCCACCAGTCACAGGCCAGAAGCCACAGCCTTCAGCTGCTGCAGGGCAGAAGAACAGTACATTGAAGTTTCTAGGGCTCAGACATTTTCATTTTAGCTTGGTCACTTTCTTGATCCAGGGTACGTATTTGCTGACCTTTGTGTACACACCAGGGGAATCCTTTCGACCACAGCCATAACCCCAGGAAGTGATTCCCAAAATGATCCAACGTCCATTTGACCTCTGACACATGAGTGGGCCTCCACTGTCACCCTGGCAGCTGTCCACCCGTTTATCTTCAGAGAGGTTCCCGGCACAAATCATGCGGTTAGTGAACTTCTGTCCATAGCGGGCCTCACAATCTTCCCGGGGGAGAAGAGGCACCACCCCCTGCAGTAGTGTTCTCGAATAGGACTTCCCTGGAACAGAACAGATCAGCCAAACCAATTCACACATAGACAAGACGCAACCAAGAGTAACAGTTCTCAGCACAAAACCAGATATTTGTACATTTCGTGTCAAGAACGTGGCACAGAAATAGGCCAAACTCAGCATCTCTGAACCATCAGAACTTCAGAAAACAGTACTGCAAAGCCAGACCACAAAAAAGAAACCTAAGATCAAAGAAATGGGGAAGAGGTTAGAGAAAGAGGTTAGATCAAAGGATGAGTCTTACTCCTGGTTTTGCCAACAAGTAACTTGAACCTTGTGTAATTTATTTCACCTCTCTGAGCCTCCATTTCCTCCTCTATAAAACAAGGACAGTGTTTTCACAAGGGAATAAATGCAGTAACATTTGTGATGTGCTCACTCCTCAGAGAAGTTTTGGAACATGTTTCAGAGGCATCCAAATATTATTCAAACGGAGCTTACTTCATCTTTGGCCAGGCTTGTCTCTATTTGCTCTGATCTCTTTATTACCACAGACTTGGTCAGAACGTAAGGATCATGTGCTATATTACAGTATAAACTTTCTGTACCCAAGATTTACAGTAATTTACAGACTTACTGTAAGTTCACAAGGTAGTAGGTGACTCGTTTGGAAAGCTGGGTTTGTTGTGTGTGAGGGATTCTAGCCAGTAAGTCCCAGTACAGCTTAAGGGAGTCATATGGCTAAGTTGCTCCTTGATCCTTCCCAGGCACCCCAAAATGACTCCAAAGGCAAATGTATATTCTCAGTTAAACACTTGAGTAACAGCTAGAGAAACAGCTGGAAAGGATGGGTAAGGCCAAAATCAACATACAAGCCCCTGAGGCTATTTGCTTTTTGGCAGCAAGTCCTTCTAAACATATGGATTTTCTCCAGTTACAGCAGCCCTAGAAAGGCCTCCTTTCCTAAATCCATGTTTTGCATCTATGAACCCCAAACGTGGAAGGACTGCTCAGCCAGTCACAAAGCTTTGTTTAGTGTTTAAAGCTGTCTCCAGACGAATGCATCCATGTAAGGACACCACCGATCCCAGCATTTTAAAACATCGCATTGAGAGAGCTAAGGATTTAGTAATTAATACTTTTTAGAATATTTCCTGCTTTCTTTTACCTAGGAAGCGTCATAGCAATGCAAGATGGCAGGCACAGGCTGTCTCAAACCTAGTGCAGAAACCAACATCAGAGCCCAGCTGTCCCTGGAGCAACATCCAGGGAGATTCAGTGACCTGGCTTCCAAGAAAGGTCAGCTACTGCACAGGAAGAACACTGTCTCAGGTATCTCCCCCTGCACATGCTCTTTATAAACAAGATGGTCTGAGAAAGATTCTTTCCATTGCTGAGCTCCCACTACAACAGCAGGAGGTCATGGAAACACGAGGGCCTCCCTGAACAGTAGACAGGTTTTGTGCACCAGCTCTGCACAAGTTGTTGTCTAAAGGTTTTACAGTGGGTAAAAATGCATGTAGAAGAGGGGAGAAAGAGAGTACTATGACCAGGTGGCAGCATTCCTCTCTCCCACCACTTCAGAAGGATGCTATGGCTACTAAAACTTCCATCATGGGCAGATCCAAGACAGCTTCAAAAATCAGAAAACAGTGATCACTGCCACAAAAATCACCTTATTTCCTGCTCCTTGACACAGACAACAGGAGCATTAAGAACCTGGCCTTGGGTTGGGCAGATGTAAATTAATAGTGCATATAGACTCCTCAGTCCAGAATCCCCCATCCATCTTGCTCCTCAAAGCCCTGTCACTTACCTGTGTCTCCCCAGCCAGAGATGATGCAGGCTTGCCTGTTGATGTCAGACTTCTCTTTCCTATCAGGAAGGCAGACAGGCAGAACGTGGTGATTGAAGGAGAGACAGTGACCTTCTCTGCCCCGCATTCGGACCAGGGCAATGTCGTTATCATTGCTGCCGGCCCAGTAGTTCCTGTGGAGGACAATCCTCTCCACAGGCAGCTCCCTCTCAAACTCATCCTTCACACCTGTGTGGTAATCGCCCACCCGCAGCAGGTAGCGTCGTACATCAACACCAAACCTAGAGAAAAAGACAGGCAAGACCTTGATACTCCTACCAAGAGAGAAACAGACTGATGCAAGTCTCAATTGCTTTGAGACTGAACCACCTCCTCCCAAACTGATAAAGCAGTGCCAGGTTCAGAACTGTGGGATCTCTTTAGCTGATGTGATAATGACAGCTGTTGCAATCACTATCTACCACACACTGGATTTTTTTTCCATAAAAAGGGCTACAGCAGTTGCAATAGGCTTATAGTCTTATCTTTTCACAGTTCCTTAAACCACAGGAAGAATGACAAAATGTTGGTTCCCTTTAAGTGTAAAACCTTGAAGTTCAGAAGGCAGGTGTAAGCAGTGAGGGATAAAGCAAGCCTGTCATGAGACATCCCTGTAAGAGCTCCAAGATCACACATAACATAACCTAAAGGTTTTGGTTTAGAAACTTTTCCCATGTAGTTCCAGTGCACTGGGAGGTTAACCTCATTAGAGGTTATCTTGTTTGTCTTTGAGAATTCCTCAGGGCTCCCCACTCACAAACACACCTTTTGAAGCAGTGGGCTGCAGTCACTACCCAGCAGCTGCTGATCAGTGTTGCCCCACACAGCAGTCGGGTATCTCTATGAAAACCCTTCAGCCGCAGTGAGACCTGCCACGGCCAACCGCCTCTGAAGAAGAAACAGAAGAATAAGCATCACATACACAGGAGCTGTTTTCTTTTCCCATTTGCTCTGCCCTATCTGGGCTCAGTTGGCATGCATTCTCCTCTAGATGGGCCCATTGGTACAAATGAAGTTCAAAAAGTCACAAGGAAAAATGTTTTAATAAATTCACCATCTGCCAGGCTATTTCCAGAGACTTTAGGAAGCTGGAACCAGTTCTAGCTTTTTCAGCAATTACCTGAGAGCCTTGTTTCCACCTATGATCCTTTTCTTGCGACGGTGAAGCAGGCGCATGCCACACACACCAGACTCTGGACCTGCACAGCAAAGTTAGAACAGCTGGGTAGATATCTTCAGCTTAAATATCAACAACTGCTGTCAAAGAGCCAAGATATCATTCTCCTTCCCTGAGGGCATTAATCTTCCTGGTAGCTGTCTGCATTGTGCTGTGCAAAGGAATTTACAGATTTGTTCCCAAAGCTTTCCTCAGTTTTAGTGGAGGTGTTCACCTCCAGTATTTGTAGTCTTATGCCAGGAATGGGACATCTACAGCTATTTCCTCGGTGCTCTAAAACCCAAAGTTTGCTCGTAGTTACTGCTCTAAGAAGGGTATAATGACATAGCTCAAGGGGAGTTCTGAAGGGCCAAAGACCTGACACAAGGTAGAGCTCCTGAGAGTAGGCTGGAGCACTCTGTGCTTCTGAAAAGAGACAGCGAAAAAAAAGAAAAAAAAGAGTAGGAGGTGCAGGAGACTACATGCTTATTTTGTAGCTAAAGCTTCAGAAAAATAAAAAAAATAAAAAAAGAGAAAAACTACAGTGCAAAAGCATGCACAGATCCTACAGCTCAAGCTCCAGACTTCTCTGTAGAAAAAATGGGCATATCACCTGTTCTCCTCATATCTTGGACCTTCTCTTCCACATAGTCACAGATCACACCAGCATCTTCACTGTGCCAGCAGCCGTGAATCCCAGTGTCAGGCCTGCCACACTGTCCCAGGGTGTGCTCCACGCCACTGCATTCTACATTGTTCAGATGGATGGGCCCTTGGCCTTCACCAAAATAAGCCATTGCCCTGGCTTTTGCTGTACCACTGCAATGAGAGAGAGGGTGGCTAACCTGCAATAAGCAGGAGGCAGGTGAAACTCAGCACGTTTTAAGAGAAATGATATTTGTAGATCACTCCACACACAGACAGTAGCCCAGTACCTGCTGAAGGCAGCATGAGAATAGGATTCTAATCCCTCAAGCAGATACAGGTCTGCCAGAACTAAGAAATGAAGCTCCTGGCAACAGCCCCAGAAAGACACCGTTCCCCCCAAGAGTTATTTCTATCTGTAAGATGTATCTATCAGATCTCTTACCTGAAACCAAGTTGCCTGCAAACTACTGCAGCATCTCTGTCTGTCCAGCCATCATCACAGACGCTGCCCCACTGCCCATTCACAAATACTTCAACCCGTCCCTCCTTGGTGCTTTCTCCATCCACTAACCGCACAGGAGGCCCTGCAAGAGAAAACACACGGGTTGCTGCAAGCAAAAATACCAAAGGACACAAAGTGTCTAGAACTTGGGTTCTACAGGAAAAAACAAACCCTAGAGATCAGTAAGCTTAAAAAAAGGGTGGTGTTGGAGGGTGGAGACCATATATGAAAACTATATCCCTCATTTCACCTTCTTGCTAAATCAGTAGACTGCATGCATATTAATTTATTTAATACACTCTGTAATTCATATTCTGAAAGCTGAGTAAAGACAAGAACAAGAACAGAAGGAAAGGTATTAAGTGCTTAGGCAAGAATGGACAAGCTTAAACATGCCTTGGAAATAAATCCATTAACTGATAAAACTACTGCATTATTCAAGGCAAGAAAAGGAGTTCTATGTCCAGGAAAAACAATAACAAAAAATAAGATGCTGCATATTTCAATGAAAAACAGCTGACAAATTGCAAAGTCTCCTGCAGTAGACAAAGCAAAGTCTATCAGGCCTCATATAAACAAAATGTACGGTGCTAACTTAAGATAAATTTACAGTTTGAATTAAGAGGGTGCCATCCAAAGAAGAGAGTGCCAGTAACCACACAACAGCCCCTAACATCTGAAGTCCTCTTGCCTTGACAAGGTGTGACACTAGTGTAACTACATCAGTTGCCTGATGTGTCTAGTCAAAGGGTTCCCATGTTTCCATAGACATAGGGCTGAGGCATTTCATCAGGGAGCAATAGCACAGGAAGGCAGCCACCATTCCTCAGTTTCTCAGGTTTGTATTAGAGGCTGCCAACATAATTCTCTCCAGTTTCCATTTCTCTACAGGTCTGGCTGTACAGCTGGTAGCAGAGCCACAGCTCTGCTTCTCAGAAAGCAGTCTTCTCATTGAGCCTGCACAGGGAAAAGTCCCATATCTGCCAGAGTTTCCAAAGGAACAAACCAGCACGAGATACTTTCTTACTGCCCAGAGCAAGATGCAAGACAAGTTACCCAGGCTGCCATCAGCGACTGTGTTGCTCTCAGGGGAGCAGCGGACCCCCACGTCCTCAGTGTGCGAGCAGTCGTGCTGCCCCCAGTTGCTATGGGGACAGTCCAGGAGGGAGAGCTCTGTCCCCACACAAGCCACATCATCCAGCAAGATCAAGCCTTGGCCAGCAGCGTAGTCCCCTTCAGAGGCCAGGGTAGCAGGACCACTAGAGGAAAGAAACAGAACACGACATCAGATTCATTACAACTAGCTAATCCCACAGAGGGGCCCAAGTTCAGACCCAAAGGGAAGCCAGGCAACTCCCCTGCAGACATCAGCTCTGGTACTGGTGCCCTCCCTACCTAAGCTACTCAGTGACACACCGGCTGGCAGCCAAGCAGCTTGCACATCTCACCAACATCAGCTTTCAGGAAGGCCCAATCAGGCCATTAAGAAAATCCTTAACACTACACTGTTTTGTCCTGATGGTCTTCATTCAAGCACTGAAGCAGTTGGTACAGTTTAGCTACAGAGCAAATGGGTAATAAAGTTTAGCTGACAGAGTAGACAGGCTGGGAGTGCTGAGCTGATATATCTGGAAATTTAAGGAGCCATAAAACAGTATCAAGCCTGTTATCTGCTTTCAAAACAGGTCAAAACAAGAGGTAACAAAGATATCTTTTTCCTGGTAAAGTACGTGGACACCCAATAATTTTTCCTGAGTAAAACTGCATAATGGTAATAACCCTTCCAACAAAGACAGAATTCAAGGAAGTAATGTCTAGCCAAACCCATTAAAGAGACATGGAATCTAATCCTTGAAATTAGGAAGCACAGATACTACAAACACTCAGTCCTACCTGAAGCCCAGCTGCCTGCAGACCACCTGGGCACCAAGGTCTGTCCAGCCGTCATCACACACTGTGCCCCAGTCTCCGTTGTAATAAACTTCCACCCTGCCTTCGCTGGAGCTGCGACCACCAGCCAGCCTGACAGTGCCCTCTGCAAGGGGTGGGAGAACAACAGACCAGAGCTCAGTAAGGGAGAAAAATAGGCTGAACCCCGCTTCTGAAAACCCTCTACAGCCCACAAGAGGAAGAAACCAAAAGGCGCAGATAGTTGTGGGTACTCAAAAAACAGACATCCCTCAGCCTTTCCATGCCACCTGTGGAAAGCAATGAGAACACCACCTAGGCTGGCTCTGATTCATTCCCACCTGTGTAATATGGCAGTAAGGCTGCATTTGGATGGCACAGAGCTGTAGGTATGTACCTGTGAAAGGGTCACAGGAGACCCCAGCATCTTCAATGTGGTCACAGTTTTGTTGTCCCCAGTCACTTTTCTTGCACTGGTCAAGTGAGAGTTCATTGCCTGAGCACTCCACTTCATCCAGCAGGATTGGGCCAGATCCCTGCCCAAAGTGAGCCCATGACAAGGCTTTTGGGTTCCCACTGCAAACGATATACACACATACGCTCAGTAAGGAAGGTCACAGTCTTGTTCACTTGCATTCCGCCTTGCACAAGGACTCTCTGACTTACATCCTTCCATAAGTAATGTGTATTTCTGGCACAGTGGTGTTGCCAATTGTTAACCAAAATGGTTAATGATGGAAAGTCTTGTAATGAGACCTCCCAATACATAAAAAAAATGCGTCCATAACAAGAATGGTTCAGATACTTGAGAAATTCTGCGGACAACAATGCCTCAATCTCAATGACAGGCAAAATTGTCAAAGTTGGAAGGATTTCAAATTTGACTTAACTATTTTTAAACAATCCTGTGCCTATTTGGTTTTCAAGATTGCTCAGTATACAACAGCTCCCATGTTAAATGCTGGATGGCACAGAGAATGAGGTGTTCTCTTGCTTTCCCTGACTGAAGAGGATAGGGGCAGTCACTGAAACTGAAGATATTTAAACTTAATGACTGCAGTTCACCTATGGAAATCACCATTACAAGCTATCAATGAGGCCAAGAAGATATGCATTAGGACATGTATGTAAAACTAAGGAACAGGGATCAACACAAACAAGCCTTGGATAGGGATACACCAATTCTTTTATACAGCATAAACCCACAAAACTGACTGATTTTATACTGAATTAAGTACAAAATCCCTTTATAGGATGACTGAGGTTTTGTACCCTTTCCATAGAAAGGGTTGGTGCTATAGTGAAAGGAGATGCTCTCACATTCTTTATTCAAACTACTTCTGCTACTTCTGTTATCACTCCGTGATGAACAGTAGGCAAATTACCTGAGTCCAAGCTGCCTACAAACCACTTCAGCATCCCGGTCATCCCACTGGTCATCACAGATGGTACCCCACTTGCCATCGTGGTAAACCTCTACTCGTCCTTCAAAGCTCTCCTTTCCCCCAACTAAACGCAATGGGACACCTACACCTGTGTTGCAGAAAAGAAAAAGAGATCAAAGCAGAGCAAGACAGAGACAAAGCACATCCAGCAGTTGAGGTTGTAGAACTATTCACAAGCCAGAGGATCTGTTAGGATGCTCTCATCCCACCCTACCACATCCTCCCCTCCAAACCCCCCAGAAGCATCCATGACTGCATGCCACAGCATGGGGTGCAACTGGTCCACAGATAGCTCTTTAACTGGCTCCTACAATGACAAGGACGTTGCTATCTGAAAACAAAACAAAACAAAACATTTTTAATAAGAGGGGATGTGCTCATAAGCAACTGCTACCTTGCAATGATTTTAGAAGTGTGCCCACTTTGAGTATTTGGGATTGAGAAAAGAGAGATCATTTTCCACTGTAAGGAAATAATCTGCACAGCAGGTGAAAGTAGAACACACTCCAATGTTTTGCTCTCCACAGTTTCCTGACCTCAGATTTAGCATCTGAGCAGTAACAGTGGATTTCAGGTAACATACACACAAGAAACAGGTAATGAACCTCCCCTGGAGATTTACCTTCTGGAGGGACACACATTGCCATGGCGCTTCCCTGGTTACAAGTTCCTGACACAGCTTCCTGATAGCCACATTGCAGCAGGGCTTTCTCATCCCCATGGCAGTTTGCTGACTGCAGGTGCAGGGGAATAGGCCACAGTCCAGGATGACTCTTCTTTCCAGCTGTGCCAATCTCACTGGAATGGAGAATGCAACGGGATGATGAAACACTTATATTGCTTAAGTCACACTGTTTTCCAGCCCAGCTGTGACATTTCACATCTAGTGAGCCCAGTTGACTGGGAGTGCATGATGGAGTGTCAATTTTCAGTCCAGTGGAAAAATTCAAACAAGCCCAAAGCAACTCCCCCTCTCCCTCCCCACGTAATCCATTCTGTCTTCCCACTTACAGCAGTGGAGTTGAACTCAGAAACGGCACCCTCATTTGAGAGTGACTGAATGAAACAACCTATCAACAGATTGTAACATGTCAGCACATCTAAATATCTGAATAAACTTTTTCTTTCTCTGTTAGTCTCATCTCCTTGTTGTTTGGAAGTTTGAATAAGTCCAAATAACAGATTCCCTGAGAAGGTTCATAGTCTCAAAATCTCTAATAGATCAGTACAGTAATTCCAGCTGTTAATACTAAAAAGGGAATATGGTCACTCATCACAGACTCAAACACAAAGTTTCAGAAACTGCTGTTTTAAAAAGTTCTTGCAAATGCTGATTGGGCTTGGACAAAATCATGTGGAAAAAAAAAAGAAAAAAGAAAAAAGAAAATCTGGTAAAGGACCCTGGTAAGCGGGCAATCAGTCCACAAAACAAACTTCTCTCCCAGCCAATGTATTATGCCAGAAGAACAGTAACCAAAGAGGTTGTTCTCTCAGAGACTGTATGTGCATGTAACACTTGCAACCATAATGAGGCTCTCACCTGAGACCTAGTTGCCTGCAGACAACACTGGCATCCCAGTCCGTCCAGTGGTCAGCACAGATGGTGCCCCAGAGTCCACCAAAGTAGAGCTCCACACTACTATCTTCAGCCAACCGCACAGCACCTTCAAAAAAAAAAAAAAAAAAAAAAAAAAAAAAAAGGTTTGGACTTGGGTGTAGTTGAGCTGAGCTAAACCTGACTTCTCTCATCCTTGTTTTGGGGTGCTGTTACTGAAATGATCTGTATGTGCAGAAAGTGGCACCTCGACACGGGCACACAGCACACCTACACCTGTATCCTTCACTTTAACGAAGCCAAATTTGAAAGCACTTACTCAGGTGAGGGAAGAGACTTTGCTATTTCATTTATTATCTGTTCTGCAAAATGCAGTTAAAAGAAGAAGCATCAGAAAACAGGAGGACAAATGGAAGTGTTGCTCGTGAGTTGGTATATGGAGAGAGCTCAGCTCCTCCGCATGCCTCAAGATAAGCAGCAGTCCTTGTATCGGCACAGCCAGGACTTCTATAGTAAGTCTAGGACCCACCTTGCTGCAGAAGATTTACAATCCTATCCACAGAATATTTGTCCTTGTTTTATTTGAACTGCTGCAATTATATGAGGAGAGCTCAGATATGGACACTTAAGGAGTTGGAGAAGGTTGTTTTCCACATAACTTCAACTGCTTTCAAAATGGCATAAGAAAAAGAAGTCTCTTTATATGAGAATTAAAACATTTATACAAGGCATTATGCAGCTTAAATCAATTCCATACTATATACAGATGTTTTTCTCTCATACAGATTTGTTTTTAGTTCTAATTCATTTGACAATTTGGGACAATTAGTGTACTGTGATTCTTTCATAGGGTATTATTTTATCTGCTACTTGCAAGTCTGTGCAGCACCCGTTTCTGGCCTGAACCCCTTGAGACAGTGTAGCCCAGGCTCTGGCAAGGATACCAAGCTGCTCTTACCCTGGTTACAGTCACAGTTAGCCCAGCCGATAGTCCCTGATGCAAGCCGGTAGAAGCACCAGGGTGTAGTTCCCCCTTCTGGGTTCCTGCAGTGGTTGTGGTCCCCTAAGCCACGGTCTGGGTACTGCTGCACATAGTCAGGGAAATCTGCCCAGTTCAGGCACTCTGCCCCAGCCTCAGTGACTGCCAGCGAGCCGTTGTAATACCCAAGAGGTCCGATGCCACACACGCTGGACACTGGGCACAGAAAGGAAGCTGTTAGCATAACATAAGGCATCTCACATGGAGGCACAAACAATACTGGACATACTGGCTGATTTCCTGAACCTCTTTTGTGTCTACAATCTTGACTACTACTTGTGTGTTTGATTTCAGTTATATCGCTCTTTAAGGCAGCTGCTACAAGGATGTTTATATATACTACCTAAAACCCAAGTTGATCTGTAAAAAACAAAATGCATAGACCTTTAAAACATGATAAGTGTGGGCCCAAACACGGACTATTTGAAATAGTTCCCATTACTGATTATTTCAGTAGAGGTATTCCCTTTCTCTGGGCCAGCAGATGAGCGTGGCAGACTCTTTGCCTCTACCTGCTTTGGTACCTGAGTATGATACTCTTAAGTTTGATCCTAGGCTCTTCAAAAGATTTACTGTCTGTCTAAACTGATTACAACTAAGAAGAGTTTAAAATTATCTGTCATTTCTATAAAACAAGAAGGTGGGTACTGTACTTCACTGTATGTATGTTCCTTCTACATATTAACATATAACCTGGCTTGTCTGAACTTATAGGAAAGGAAAGGGAAAGGGAACCACTTTCAGTGGGGAGCGTAGAAGCCAATATTCTAGGCCAGTGCCTACATGAATTACCTTATGCAAAGAAGCCCCAACAAATAATTAAATATGGTCGAGAGAGAGAAAGAAAAGAAAATTCATTATTCATGACCCTGAAATAAGAAATAGGGAAACCAGAATAACATTGTGTGTGAAGGTGTGCTTTTTAAGTGTGCATAAAATGGGAAAAGACAACTCAGAAGTTGGTAACAGTTATAGTTCAATTCATTGAATATTCACGGAATAAACAAAAAGATTTCAGAAAATCCTTCTGCTGTAAAGACATGTAAGGCAAACAGCAGCGGTAACTGACAGCTAAAGGTTAGCTACAAGGGACAAAAGTGAGAGTTCCAGTTAGCTGTCTGGAAAACACACCGTGCTTCTTGGATTGACTGGGACCCTAAAAGGAGGGCATATGACAGGACAGTACTTACTAGGAGGAGCAAGCATGCAGAAAAGACTAAACAGAAAAACAGATGAAAGGAAAAGAATGTGGTAAAGGAAGAAAATTGCAAGAGTATTAGACATGAAGAAGAGAAAGAAGTCTGACCATACTGGTGAAAGAGATAAACAGACATTGAGTTACACAGGAAAAAAGAAATGGTGAAAAGAAAGCAAAGAAGCCAGATAGCAGTGGTTCATCGTACCTGTAGTCTCAGCTCACCACTGCAGAAAAGAGTCTGCTTGATGACTGAATTAATAACTTCTTGTTCTTACCTGCACTCTGCAAATGGTTTTGGCTGGGCTGGGATCCCAGGAGAGCCTGGGAAAAGAAACAGAGCAAAAGCAGAGAGATGATTATCCGATGAAATAAACATGGGCATGTTCTGAAAGCAGCTCGGCCTTTTGCTGCTTTAGGCAAACACACCTTGGTAACCAGCCTCTTCCCTGTTCTCCCTATTGCTCTTCTTCAAACCCAATCACAGCTCTGCCCACTAACAAAAAAAAAAAAAAAAAAAAAAAAAAAAGAATAATTACTGGCCTACAGAGATTTACCCTTGATCTAAGGGTAAATTTCATTTACAGGGCTCTGCTTGCTCTTTCCAGGGTTTCAGCCCCAATGCTCTGAGCAAACAGAACTGGAAGTCAGACTGAGATGCCTACGGAAAGAAAAGGTGGAAGAAAATCGTCATTACCAGTAAGAAAAAATGAACAGCCATGCATTCTCTCTCCATGTAAAGGGTAAGCCATCTATGACCACACGAGTAAACAGATATATCTACCTGATGGGATGATGCTCCCAGGAATCCCTGTTAAAATAGTAATAAACATCCATATACGGAGTGGGAAGCATGTAAAGAAGAAAATCCAACATGGCTTTTTGAGGATTTTGTTTTTACTACATCAAAGTATGATATGTCCTATGGGATTATTATCCAAATGTAGTAATATAACTAAAAACAAAGAATATGGAACAAAGAATTCCAGCATCCTGCCCAGCCCCAAAACTGCATTTCCTCTTGTAGGCAGTGTTTTGGGTGATTATAACTTGACTGCTGGTTGAGAGATAGGGATCTCCACTTCAACACCATTACATGGTATGCAGGCAGGTGCAGGATCTTCACAGACCCAGAGTGAAAAGAAGGAACTGTACGTGCTTCTGCTAGCTCTGTGTAGTTTAACTCTTTTCTAAATGCAGCTGCTTATGAACAGACTTCTAATTCACAGAACAGAGGTGTGCATGTAAAGAAAACTGGCTATTGCAAATAGTTCTGTTTTTCTTCAAAATGCAGCAATTTTGCTTCTTTCAGCTTCACTTCTCCTTGGAAAAGGCTAAGAGCAAACTTTGGGAATTAAACCAAATCCACCTCTGGAGTAAGCCAGGACAGTCCCAACAGACAGCACACACCTCCTCATAGCTGATTTCATTTACAGATCGAGCTTATGAGTAACGGTCCAGCAGGTGTTGAGAACCACAGCCAAGCTTCACCATCATCCTCCAGAACTCAGAACGTGACACTGCATATTGCAAATGAATTCCTGACACAGTTCAGGAACTGCACATCAGACCTCAGGTGCATGCACGCGAGGGGATGCACAGATAAAACAGTAATTAACTGCCAAAAGCCTATTCAGCCAAAAATCCATCTGTCTTCACGTATCCAGCTATTCTGAACCTACACTATGTTTTGTAAAATAGCAATGCTGAAGGACTCATCTGAGAATCTCAAAGCTCTCTATGCTTTTGTGACTGTCCAAGATCACGCACAAGACAGGTGATCGAGGCATAATCCGGGTACCCTGACATCCGGCTTCTAGTGTGCACTCATACACACATATAAACCTGCAAGAGACAGAGGGATTAATAACTGCCTATATGAACGACCAAACATCCTCTTCGTGGAGACTGACCATAAATGAAAGAACCGCATTCCAAGTAATATGCTTCTCTTTTAATGAAAAACTAGTTGCCAGTTTCTGTAGCAGTTTCCAAAATCCCTCAGTAGTCATCATCACCAAATTTTAGTGCACGCAACCTGTGCTGCAGTCACTGCCCCAGGTCTGGGTGGCTATAGATCATCAGTCCACAACAGCAATAGGGATAATCAGTCCATCAGTGAAGAACAGAAACAAAGGATCCTTCCTGCCAGGGTCACTGCAGTGCTTGAGTAACGTGGGGAACCTGAGCCAAAGCATCTGCAAGCCCTTGTGCATCTGCTTTGTTTCCTTTCCTGAATTTCATATGCAAAATGAAATAAATCCCTCCCCAAATCCTCAACCCTTCCCAGAGACCACAGCTGCCTAGATACTTGAGAAAACATATTCAGTGAGAACATGATCCACTCACAGTGATGATATTAAAAAAAAAAAAAAGCCATGTGACTTTTTACAAGCAGATAGAACAATAATTTCTTACCTCCCTGCTTCTGAGACAGGATAACAGACTCGAGAGCTCTACCAAGAGCGTGAGTACTTTAGGAATCTTCATCCTTCCTGTTCAAAGTGGGCAGAAGCTCTTTCAAGCTTCACAGTCTCATTTTGCCGCTGGGCTCAGCTGCTGCCTCCTCTTCTTGCTCTCCAGCTCGGTTTCCCCAGGTGCAGGGCACTAGCTGCTACACATCGGAGGTAGTGGGATGCCTCTTTCATTTCTGCGTGGGGAAAGGGATGGAAGGGAAGGAATCAAAGTTCCCAAGAGCATCTTAAAATTTCACTGTCCTCTTCCTCTCCCCATCTCTTCTGCTTGACTCTTCTCCTCAGAAAGGGAAAAGGAAGGGAGAGAAATAAGGGAGGAGAACATGCCCCAGAATTTCTCTATCACCTTTAAAAACAGCAGGAGGCAAGCGCAGACGGGTAGGGCACAGCCCTCAGCTTGCTCCGGCACCTCAGCTGTCCCCTCCCTTTTGCTCGCTGTCCCAGCCTCTCGTTTTGCTGTGGGTATGCTTTTCTCCCGAGTGCCAGCCTCCGCCTCTCCACTGCTGTCTGCCCAGCCGCTCTCTTCTCCTGAAATTCCTTTTTTCCACAGCTGACTCTTCCTTCTCTCCCGTAAGCACAAAGGCTGCAGCAGCAGCAGGGATCTGGGGCTTCCTCCTGCAACAGCTCCAGCAGTGAAACTGAAAAAGGAAACGGCTCGTACACGCACATTTGCCAGAGATTATACTTGTTGGAAGGAATCTGGACTTTATCCCCCCTCCGCTGCCTCCTTGATTAGCTGCTTGCAGCTTCCTGAGGTCAGACTTTCCTCAGGCTTGAACACAGGTAAACGGGTCCCAGAAAATTATTTTAAGAAGCTTCCAGATTTCCCCAGGAGAAAAAAAACAAGTGTCACAGCCCTCTCTAGGATGCATTCCCACTTTTCAGCTCTGCATCTTGTCATTAAGGGTATAGCCTCCAGAGATCTTTTTCATCAAGTGTCTTCTTGACCTTGGACTGTAACATGATTTTTTATTTGATTGGCTAGGGTGATTTCTAGAGGATTAATCATTATTTTATTGCTACAAATAATCTTATTTTTTCCAGCTTACTGCTCCTTCATATAAATTAGAGCTAAAGGCTATAACAGAAGTTTTAAACATTATTAAATCTAAGAAGGCTAATGCTCAATTTGAAGCTGTTCAATTTTTGATTTATATATTTTTTTAACATGTTCCCCATGCTGCTCCTTAGCTCAGTCTAATGAACATTTCCTGCATTTATATTCTGATTATGGAGGGATTAACTCTTAGTGTTCTGCAGCATAACCCACGAAGGTCACCTTAAGAAATGAGCTCACTTCTGGCCAAACCTGCGGAGAAGCATTTCCAAAGACACCTTCAGCATAAAAACAAGAAACAGGCTGATACAAATCCATTGGCTTGATGAAAAGCCTCTTTTTTTCTTTTCCCACTTATTGCCCATTACTCACTTCACATGACAGTTTTGTGTTGCCTCATCTTTAGTCACTCATCAAATGCAATGAAATTCCACTACAGCTGGATCTTTCACAGGAGGACTGAGTGAGTGGTAGGAGGGAGCAGTTTCTTGAGTGGATTTGTACCACAGTGCATTCTGGACACGGTGGATTTGGCAAAGAATTACACTCAGTTAATTAGAAGCAAATCTCCTATATCCTATGATCCTCGTAGCTCAGGAGGCAGATGATCAGGTCAACAGAAGATGGAAATAGCTTAGATGCTATAGCATTCTGTAACTCTCAAGCAGCATTTGTAAAAAGGAGCAAAACAAAAAGCAAAGATGAGAATGTGTTGGAATTTTAGAACCACTACTCCCGTGAAAACATGAGGAAAGGATGTACTACTAACAATAACAGAAAATCCACCAGCACTTAAAGAACTCCACTCCTTAGCCAGGAGTTTAGAGGTTTTTGATGCCACTTCAAAACTCTCAAGATGATGCTCATCTATTTAACCCGTTAGAACTGGAAAGGAACAGATGCATTCGACCTCTATCTGACATGTACTAATTTTGTTTAGAACCTACAGCAAAAGCCTGTACTGGACTTCTCTCACAGTAGCTTGCTTCCCTCTTAAGTAAAGGCTTTTCTAGATATTTTGAAGTGATTTACTCAAAAGGAAAACACAGACCAGTGCACCAAAAGCAAGAGAAGTCCAAGTTTGTTATTCAGCGTCCTGATGAACAAACCATGCCAATATACACTGGTGTTTGCAGTAGTCTCCTCTATGGTGGGTCCTCTTTTGTAACTATTTCCTTCTTGCAAAGACCTCCCCCTGGTTTTCTTGCACTTCTAATGACATTTCCTTGAGATGGATTTCAGATACAAAAAGAGCTTCTCATGGCTATGCATCTCTTCTTTCCCTTATTTGCTTATACTCTGCTATGAGTCAAACAATATCAAAATATTTGCCTACACAGAAGGGTTTTGCTATTTAAGTGACCACAATTTTACATCTAGTTATACTGGCATCAGTTTTCTCTGGACTCTCTTAGCTTTAACAATTTCCAAGACACCACAAACTAAATTAGCCTTGTCTAAGACTGACCAAGAAGGAAATCATACCACTGTAACCATGGCACTTTAAATATGCTTTACTTCACCTCTAGATACATTACTTATTTAGAACTTTCCCATAAGTGCAAGTTTGAAGTAGCTGTGATTATCAAAGTCCACTAGTTAACATAAATCACCTTCTCACCCCGATATAAGCATATTCTATAGTAACAATCTACAATTCCCAACAGTCTGTCTTTTTTGTTTGTGTTTTGTTTTCCAGATTATTCCACATAGACCCTTCCAAATCCAAAAAAAAACAAAACACCTGCCTTCTAAAACAAATTTACATCTCAGGAATTAAACTCCTGAACTGGCAGGACTACTATTCATAGAACCCAGCTGAAGACCAAGTCTTCCCATTAAAGGTATATCTTAATCTCTCTAAGCTACGAAGAAAGTAATTTTGCTTGCCACATTAGGAATAAGAACAGGTCCAAGTCACTGACAAGACTGACTTGGCACCAGGAACTGGGCCTTAGTGCTTTTGCTAGTCTCATAGCTGCATGTCCTCAGCGGAGAATGCAGGGCAAACATAATTAAGGATTAGAAACTGATGGAAGTGCACATCCCTCAACAGAGGTGGTTCTTTGCTTTCTCAAGTGATCATTTTAGTGAAAATGTCACTTATACAGAGCTGCTATCGGCTATTCTCTTGTGCATCTACTGAATTCTTGTTGGTAGCCAGTAGAAATTGTTAATCCTTCTCAGCTTTGTTTGCAGACTAATTACAAAAGCACAATAAGTCTGTTTCTAACTGATAACTAAGGTGCAAATGGAGAAAGAAAAATATTTTTTAAATATAGAAATATAAATCTTATTCTGACCCTCTAAGGACATCAGGCATGCAGATACTGAAGGTTATCTGCTCAACAGAAAAACTAATCAATAGCCCATTTCCAACAGGAGTATTAGGGAGCAAAGGGTATTTTAAAAAGTCAGAATAATCATAGCTATTTTGCAAATCTAAGCAAACAAAACAAAAAATCAATAAATCTCCCTCTGGTTCTGGGCCTAGATGCCAGCCAGCCTAAAAAGAAATAAACAGTGGTATTAAATCATCTTTTTAAACTTCTTTGACTGTTAGGTCAAAAATGACAACTGCTTTAGATTAAATGTAGCTATTCTCTTTACATCTGTGTTTGTCAAGAGTTTCTGAAGATTTCCTACCCTTAAGCAGAGAGACTGAGGTCTGAAGTTCAGGAAAATCAAGAAAAAAAATAATCAGTATTTCCTCCGTAAGAGATCTTCAGTGAAACCCTAAAAGAAACAGCAATCATACACAGAGCTGGTAAAATATTTAGGCTATAACGAACGAGAATAAGATCAAGGAATTCCAGCAGATTTGCTTCAATCCTGTAAATCCTACTTAGAAGGGTAGAACAGCTAGTCAGCTTTTGCATAATTCTTTCCCCACCATGCAGTCACGTACAGGTCTCCACAGCAATTTTCTTAACCAGTGGGCTCAGCACCAGGAGCAACAGAACCTAGTTTTCTTTTATGACCCAGCAACAATATTATGGAGTGGTACAAGCCCTGAACTCAGAGTAGATGTTGTCACGTACTGCAGTTAGACATAGTAACCATCAGTGGAATGACCCTAAATGTAAGCATGTCATGAAACATGTTTATACACCCAATATAAGCTTAACATGAGATGTGGAGAAACTGCAACTCAAATTACAAATGACAATCAGTAACATGAGTCTTTTTGGTTACTGCATGGGATTCTCAGCCAAAAGAGCTGCTTGAGTACTTTTTAAAGAAACTATAAAACCTGCATATTTTAGATAAATGCATCTGAAAAGCATTCCCTTTCCTCCCTTCTTCCTCCAAATATACACATTCCTTTACTGACTGGAAAACCTTAGCATGGTAGTTTTAAGTTTACAGTAGGCATACAAAGAGTCAGGGAAAATAAAAACTGAACTTGAGAAGCTCACTGTGAAGTGGTAATAAACAAGACTTAGTGAGAATCTCAACTAGTGAGAACTGAGCAAAATTTCAGAAGTAAAAATACAACAAAAAAGTATTACATTTGCTGTTACAGATTCTTTCAAAATGATATGGTTCTCGACAGACACTACATTTGGTACATTTAGCATAGTTGCTAGCTTAAGAGGTGCAAAACAAAAACTTTATATTGTATTTTAATACAAAGAAAGAAAAGCTATCACCAATACAAGTGAATTTAGAATTAATTTGTTCCTCATTACCACCTTAGCTTGTCTCCTGCAGAAAAAAGAATTAGCAGGTAGCTCTCCTTCTCAGAGAGCATCTTACAGACTGAAAATACAATGTCATATAACAGAAGCATTTTCCCAAACTCAGGTGTGAATGTAATGTTCTTAGTGACCCCCGAGTCCTCCGAAGGCTCCATCTATGCCATGATTGCAACAGCACAGTAAATTACTCTCTGGGATAACCCACTAATGAACATTTAAGTAACACTCAATGGCAACTGCTTCAGTAACTTGAAAGCATACGCTTGAGCACGATTTATGTGATGAAGAGGTGTAGACCTGGGGCTCCACAGAAGTCATCTTCAAGCCAACTACACATTCATAAAGTCTGCAGGTATCACATTCCCCATTTGACTGTTACTTTTTCTTTATGCTCCAAAGAATTCATAACATAAATGGTTATATTGCTAGTTCTCTGAGGAACTGCATTTTTTTTTTAGTATCAATTGGGTACTGGTCCTTAAACTAGGACCTGTTTGCAGTTTTGTGTTACTCTAATGAAAAATAACAAAACTAACAGTTAATTATACAATTTCAGTATCAGTACATGCTTGATCTTTCCACATTTTAGCCATGCTGCCCCTCAAATAAACAATGGGGCATTTTGCTGTAGACTATTATTTACCCACACCGACCAACAGTCTTGTATTATTTTATTACAGTACAGACAACATTATCAATCTCACATGACACTGTACCTGCAGATCAGAGGATCTAAATCACAAGTGTCTATATTAAAGCTGTATTTCATCCTTACCAATATATTGTGTATTAGCAAGGTATTTTGCTGAAGATTTCTTTCTCGTTCTGCAGCCTTCTTGTACATCAGCAGGAATTAAAAAAATTTCAAGAGGAACCAAACTGTGTATAAATACCAGTATGAATATGAGTCACGGTGTTACTATCCATTTTAAGTTGGCCAAATCTCTGGGCCTGAATACTTACTGATAGCAGCTCCTAAGTTAGGCAAAAAACTTACATACAAAGAGAGGTCACCCTTTAACTTCAAAAATATGTTTACACACATTCCTAGAAGATATAATTTCACAGTGAGTACCTGACTCCACACTGTTGCTGGCTGGACAACTCACTGCAGAAATCCTTAAGACTGCAAGACCCAAGAACTTCATGCCAACAAACTCAGCCAATGGTCAAGAAGGCTGTTCTTCCACCCTGGAAACAAAGATGCTGTCGAGATCCACACAGCAGTGCTGACATATCACTTGATTTCAAACACTCACAGAACTGTATTTTTCACTTATTATCCAAAGACCCCATCTTTAATTGCTTGTCTGCAGTCCCTTTAAAACAGCACATTATGCACAACGTGTGATATTAGGAAACCTCCTCAGGAGTTTGTTCACTTTGCTTGAAGTTAAGTTTCTCTGGGGTGACAGTGTCTTCTCATCCTCATTCTCCCTGCGCTCCTTCTGAAACAGGAAAAGAAAGCCCAGAATATTATCTCTGTTTATTTGCCACCTTAACACTCACTCTCATAGAGTGCTAATAATTGTATTGGAATGTTTATTTCAGAAGAACACTATTTCTTTAAAGAAAACACATAATAACATTTGGCTAAATAATCACAAGGCTTTTAAAAACCAAATAGTCTTCTTTAAATTGTGAAATTAATAAATAACTAACATTTTGTGAAGATTATATCTTTCCATATTCTTAATTAAAAATATTATAATCTTATAATAGCAATACAAACATGTTTTACCTTTTACTTTCCAGTTTTCTATTTGTTTTTATTGTAATCTACCAAATAATTGGAGGACAATTTTTCATTTATGATGTCAAACTGCAGCACTAAAAAGCTATTTATTAAATGATGATCCTATTACTAAAAACATAAAAACTTGAAATCAGTTTAAGGACAAGTTTTGTACCTGTATCAACCTTTAGACTTTGCTTCAACAGTGTTGAAATTTTAGAGATTAAAAACTGGAGCATATTAAGAGAAATTAAGAGAGTTGGCCAACAGCAAATAAACTCTACTTCAAGAATTTGACAACACAGAAAGGACTGGATGTGACTATTGTTTTATCCCTAGTTATAACATACAAAACATCTAGTCCCCTCCTATGCTCCTTTATTTTAAGGAAATTCCCAATTCAAAAAGGAAGAGCTGTGTTCCTGATGTACATCATCCTGCATCTCTCCTACAGTTCAGCTGGCTTTAGCTCAAATCAAATTGTTCATGGAACACTTATTGTTGGTACACAAATATGACTTCTCTTCCTTTCCTACCACTAGCCCTAAAGAACACCAAATTGGCTTTAATTACTTCTGCCCTTGCCACGCAGTCATAGAACATCTGGATCTCCTTGGCGCAAGCTGTATCATTGAAGTCATTCTGCTTCCAGCAGGCCATCATTATTGACATCTCTGTAATGCAAGTTGCATCTAGAAGGGAAAAATAAAACAATGAAAGCTTAGGTATGCAAGATTTGATTCTAACATCCTCCACAGTACATAAATCTTCAAAGAGAAGTTTAAAATGAGGTAGAGGAAGATGAGAAAAAACAAAAGTGAAGTAAACAGCAGTATCTCATCATTGCTTCCATTAGAGAAGAAGTTCCTAGCACAAGGATTAGCACAGTCAGAGCCATCTAGTTGTTACATTTTGATAAAGCATTTATGTTAACAATTCAAAGCGCTTTATATGCAGGACTTGCACATGGAATATTGTAAAATACAGACAGAGGGTTGGAGTATGGGAAAATACTCTTTTCTAAACACCTCGTGCACAAATTCCACGGCACAAACTGGACCCCCTTGCCTGCTGAAATGCTCCTGGTCTTTTGTCCGACTTCCCAAGGGGATGCTGAACAGCTACCACACAATTTTTGTTTTGCGTTCTTCCTCTGCATTTCCTTAACGTTCAGCAAACGGAGCTATACCACAGCTTTCCCACTGCAACATTTAGAAACCTTACAGAAGCGCCTCTCAGAGCACAGGACGCTCCCCAGCAGGGACCTGAGCACGCCCTGACACCACACGACCCTTCCCCTTCCCGGGCTGAGGCAGCGGGGCCAGCTGCCAGGGACGAGGCTCGGGGACGCCGCGTTTTCCTGCCCCGCCGCCGGGAACTCACCGCCCGCCGTCTCCCTGCGGTTCGCCACCTGGTCGGCCAGCACCAGCGGCCGGGTGGGGCGGACGAGCGGGGGCCGCTTCTTCTGCCGCCACTGCCCGCTGACCCAGCGGCCCACCCAGGCCGGGTACGCGGGCGCCGCCATCTTGTGTGCGAGAGGCCGCCCCCGTGAGGCGGCACGCGGGCGGGCGGGCGGCGCAAGGCGGGCCCCTCACGGCGCCCTGAGGCAGGGCGAGTGAAGCCGCCTGTGCCGTGAGCGGGATTCTCTGTCCCAAAGTCCGTGAAAAAGTCAGCACCTCTTCGCAGCTTCAGTGCTACACGCTAACAGCTCCCCCAGTTCACACCTCCAACCCTTTTCTGCTGAAAACCCCCTGGGAATCATTTTTTTGTGTTATTTTTAAAATAGTATTTTCTTAAGAGTCCAATTTTAAAAATACGAGAACACATTTCCAAGTAAACAAAAGTGATTTTGCTTTGTCCTCTTCAGAACCAGACTGGCATTTCTTCAGATCCAAATTCAGACACTGACTGGAAGTTCTGAAGCATTTTGGTAGGGAATATTTACATTTCTCTGCTTCCTTTTTTTATTTTTTCCTGATAGTACAGGAAATGAGCTATAGTTCTAGCTTGGCTACCACTGGAAAAGAAAAACAAGCTGACACGTTCAACACAGAGGGCTTGCATCTGCAACTCTAAATGTTAGAAGTCTTTCAGCTCAATACAGAGATGTCACTTCAGTGTTCAACATTCCCATTCTTGTGTGGTTGAGCTGCTCGTAATTTGCCTCTTCTATTTACCCCCCCGATAAACACTTTTCTCTGCTGCATTTGACTGCTGTAATTACTAACATGCCTTCCACAAGAACAAAAGGGAAGCAGCAAATGTTAGGACGTAAGAGAAGTTGAGCTGCATTCACTGTAAATCAACCTCCCTTTTTCCAAATTACATTAGCTAATGGTGGCAGCACCTTCAGGTACATTCACCTTCAAAAGCTGATCTCTGTTTTAAACAATTTCAAGAAAAATAGGGGGGAAGCTGGGAAAGAGAAAGGCAAGCTACACAAGGAGAATTTTAATAGCTTCCTGCCACTTACTGCTCTCTGCATTATAAACTTTTTTCTTTTTTTGGCATTCAGCCTGGGAGTGGAGCATCAGCCTAAGAAATTCCCAAGACGCCAAAAAATGTATGCAATTGTCTGCACACCCCACACTGATGCATCTGAAGCATGGCACAAACCTTGGTTTCAAAGGGAGAATGTAGAACCACAGAAGAGGCTTGATACCCAATAGCCAACTCTCCCTATAGCCTGTATTTTTTACAACTGTTATCACAGAGTCACAAATGGATGGAGCAGAAGTCCTGACTTTTCAGGAGAAGTCAGAAAAACAGTTCTCTCAACAAACTGAACAGTGAACCCCACCGAAGTTTCACTGTGCATCCTGAGCATACACCTATAAAGAACATGTGAAATTCTAACTTTGTTTGCAGTTTTTCTTTACTTGAATGAGTATTATTAAAAGGTGAATCCTAGGCTGTGTTCCAGCTGAATTCAGTGTCAAAAACAAAATGAACCAGAGATGAAACTATTAGCACTAGATCTGAAAAGAAAACCTACAACACAACTGGAATAAGGGGCAGTTATGATGCTGCAATAAATGCATGCTAACAATGCAGTCCTAAAATACATTCAAGATATCATAACCACATCTTTCTGAACTGTTTGGATCCATCTTTCTTTGGGTAAATTTCCTGGGTAAATTCACCCAAGTTTACTCTTCCCATACAACCTCATAAAACCCTTGCCTATCACTATTTATTCTCAGTTATCTCACCCTGACCTCCTTAACCTCAATGTGAGCTGCCCTAGGGCATCTCAGTTTAATTGGAGGTGCCTTAACTTTTAACTAGCCCCACTAAGAGGTGCCTCACTTTAACAGTAAAACTAACCAGTTTTCTAAGATTCCAGTCAGTTCAGACTTAGTCCTGTCTGCTGAGCTATTGTATTTGGATGTTACTAACACTTAATGCATTCATTAGCACAATGACAGAGGCAATTTCTTTCCTCATGTCACTCTCCCCACACTCCAATGCTAGCCTACCTTATCCTGAGCTATCTCAATCAGATCAGCCTCCCTGAACTACTTTGCTCACCTGATTAGATCTGAGCTGCCATCCCTAATCCCTGACTCCCAGACCTATTTTATTCCAGTCTGCGCTACTACAAGTTACCTGATGTCTCCTTATTTGCTCAGAGATGTCTTTAAGTGTCATGGTCTGTTTTGATCCATTCCAAGATCCCCCAAACCATCTCTAGCTGAGCCACTTCAGTATTAGATTGGTCTTTTCTGCAGGAAAGAGTGTATATAACAATAGAAATTAAGATGCCAGTCATGTCAGGGTTCTGGAACAAATCCTGCAGTTCCATTCCTCTCCACCCTTCCTAATCTTTTTGCAGGGCCATGTATCTCTCGCTGCCAGCTCTGAGACACTGAATCATAAGAGAAGAGCACTTTGTTATAGCTTGACATAGGCTTTGGCTCAGCTGGTCATATCACTAAAAGGATTTTGTCTCTGATTAATTTCAACTTGTCAGTAGAGGTCTCTGAGCAGAACTAAGGAAGTGGCCGCCCTGTATGTTTCCGATTAAATACAACTTCTCAGAAGGTGCCTGGAGATCCATCAACAACCTTAATTAAATCCAACCAAATTGATGACAGCTAATCATTAAGGGAGTGGCACTCTTGGGACAATGGGTGAAGAGTGGGTATGCAGGGATGGTATGGGGGACAGATGGCTGCTTGTCTAACACAGCAAAGCCTGTTTAAACAGTGATGTCCCCGATGGCAGTGTACCAATTCAATTTATTCTGTTCCTAGCCCTTAAGGAGTTATTTGTTCTTCCACCATCTACTGTTTCACAAGCCAGTTAAAATTACCTTCTGTCAAGGTATGACTGGAGATTTTTTGCTCTGATTCTCCAAGCAGTTACATTTTGGAGACCATTTCCAGGCAAAACAGTTCATTCTTTTTTCTCCCCAAACATACACTTCCATTGTTGCTTGGCTCTTAAATTGTTTCATTCTACTTACCATCAAAAATGACCCATAAAACAGTTCAGTTCGAAAATTACTACAGTAAAAGAAACAGAAGTGTTTTTTTTTATTATCATTACTTTTTCCCTGAAATGGATTGCTGGATTTTTAACCTTCCATTGGACTTTTATTACTCCTTTCTCAAATTTCAAGATGCCATAAACTTATCGTACTTTTTCAAGTCAATTTTGAGACACAGCATCAATAGAATCTGCTGCTGTTTCATATAAGCAGTTACGAGGAGACAGCTATTTTTAGAACATTAATGCTAGCGAATAAAGCTGTCTTGGCAGCTTTGAAATCCTCCCTCTAGTCACACAGTAAACAGGCAAAATGCATGACAAGCAGTGAAGTGACTCACCCTGGCTGGTAGAGGCTTGCCAATGGGTTTACAAGGGTAATCTCTTTATCACCTTAGTATTTGATATCTTTGCTAAAATTCCTGATTAGTCTCAGTTGTGTTTTCATAAATATGGGCACCTGCACAGTAAGAACAGGATTAACATAGGGGGTTGTATACACCGCTCAGTCTGAGTATCATGTAATCCTCCTAGTAGTCACAACACAAGTGATGACATTCAGCCATTATCAAGCTGGTTTGGATTTAAAGCAGTGAAACGAGAAATCCACAAATAGCAGTCAAGAACTTACATAATACCTTTCTCCAAAATATTAATAGTTGCTGCAGTGACCTTCCTCCTTTACTGAATCCGGATATTTGCATTAGTAGAAAGATGACTAGGATCATAAACTGAATTCACTTTGGCTAAAGCTGGCAGTAGTCTTTAAATGTTACAGAACAATCCTTTCAAATGAATGATTATGTAGATCAATCTCAAATTCTTTATTCCTGAAATAATTCAGTCTTAAAGACACGCATTCTCAGAAAGAACACTTTGACCAAAGAGAAAGAAGAAAAAAAGAAAATAAAACCAGAAAAAATATATATAAAAATTAGAATCTAAGATTATCAAACAGTTACAAATATTGCACTTATAAGGGAGTATTTGTAGGGTAGTGGATATTCTTATTACAGTACTGGTGTAAGGTACAAGCAAAGTGGACAGTAACAAAATGCATATGCCCTTCTAGGCTATGAAAGCCAGCTACTCCTTCTGCCTCCTCCAAAAAAAAAAAGAGAGAGATGAAAGCAGAATCCTGGTGGGAAGAACTACCATTATTCAGCATTTTTTAGTCCTTGGTGTCCAGAGAAGCAAAGGTTGGGAAGGTCAGTCAGCAGCCCAGAAAAGAACTGCAGCCACAACTCTTCAGCCAGCTGGGAAGATTAGCGCTTCTCCTGCCACAGAAGAGTTTCCCTGGCAGGTACAGAAGTTATTCATACTACAAACTGGAAGAAGCATTTTAACCTTAATACTTGTGCACCCCTTACAACAAGTAAAACACATTTAGTATACAAAAAAAAAAAAAAAAAAAACACTTTATAAATCACAAACATTAATTGTGACATATAGGAGAAGATACAGGTAGAACAATCTATTATTTCAAGAAAAATTCTGTAGGTACAAGAGAAACAAAGTTTGGGTGAATGTCATTGCTGTAGATTGGTACCTGATATTCATTACCTTCTGCGAAGTTCACCAATTGTGAGACTGCAAAAACAGTTAAATCTATGAAGATGGTGACTAAGAAGAGAAAGCTGTTGAAGTTGGCTTGTGACTAACAACCTCTAAGTTGTATTCTGAAAGCTTTAGACAAAAAATAAGCAAACATTTGTAACAAAGTTACTTTATATCTATGCTACTTTTATACCAGCATTAGGAAGGAATGTTGCAATTAGAAATACTCGTCTTTGGCAACTGTCACAAAGCTCAAAGCAACAGCCTTCTGTAGAGGAAAAAAGACTGTAAAACAAAGAAACAAGCTTGTTGGACTGGGGGATACAATGTACTGAATACAGATAATAAACAATGGTGAAGGAATACTGGTGGTAAGGGTTTTGAATTAATTCATGAAGAGTACCAAACAGTAGGTTTTTATCCAGGTTGCTAGCTACTCTTAAGTTTGTACACCGTATCTTCGACTTGACAATATGAAGATACTTGATCGTATCTTCAGTTGACAATAGTATGTTCATTTTGCTGTGAAGAAAGGTAAAGTGAGGGTATAGGACCCCGTTAATCAAAAACTAAACAAGTGTTATGATACACAGATGGTTGCTATTGATACTTAATACTGTTACTCCTGTAAGGACGATACATTAAATTCATCATGTCTAATTCTGGTAAAAGCAGAAAAAATATAAAAAAAAAAAAACAGATGGGACTTGGTTGTTTGTCCCCCACTTCCAGATAATCTGCTTAAATTATAGGATAAAATAGCAAAAAGCAGAATGTGCTAGCACCTGGAATTTTTATTTTTTATGTTTAGTACAAAAAGCAAGATCAGAATTTCTCCTCCTGCCTATCCCAACAAAACTTGGATCAGAAAGGGTTTTGAGATATCGGTAATTAAAGACAGTCAAAGGGACCTGAATGATTTTCTATACAAATATGTGAAACAAAGAGAATCTGAAGTAACTCAAGACAAATTCAAACAATTTATTTAAATCTCACTAAGCTGTTCAGTAGAAGTTCCTATTCAGAACTAATGCAGCCTTAATTTGTTTTATCTTAATTTACTTCTCAAGCACTGTGACCACTTTAATCCTGAATACACCTATCTACAATCTTAATCTGATTTGAGTAATCTACTTTAAAAATTAATTCAGATAGATTCACTTAAGTATTCCTATACCCTGAATACCCGAAAAAAGGAATATAAACTGGTGAAGGCATTTTGGCTGAAGAGACATTTCTTCTTATTATTATTATAGAAGGGAGATTGTAAAAAAGCAAATTTCTCCTTATTTTATACAAAAAAATCAGATGCATATTTTATGCTAAAGTCGTGCACTTTCCACATCTGCATGAACACAGCAACAGTTGTAGATCTGCTCTGTTCCAGTGCCCGTATTTTAACACTGCAACACTGTGGTATCATCTGAGAAGCACACACTGGGATGTATATCGTTACCTATGCTAGTATTGTATCTATACCTAGAATATTATGAATTTGAGAAAAAAAATAGATTAAGTGATCCATACACAGAAAAGCAACAGATAATGGCTTAATTAAGGACAGAATGTGAATGCAGCCTGGTTCTCTACTTTTACTAATAGGCTTCAGGCTTGCCCTAGCAATGCATGAACTACCTTATAAAAATCAGCTAACAACAAGGATTCTACACTTTCATTACCAAAAATTTATCTTAGGCATGGATAAACTCTAGCTATTTAGTCAGTAGTTACTTCTGAACAGGGGGGGAGAAATGGGGAAAAAAAAAAATACTATTGTATCATTACAAACATTGCTGCAGTGTGACCTGTGATTTGAAATCCCTCACGCTAAGGCAACTCATCTTCCTCCAGTGCAAAATCAATTTTTTCAGAAAGGTACCAGCATACCAGGGAACAGGGGATTTTATTTATTTTTGTAAGAGATACAGGCTATGCAGTAAAGAACATTTATGTGTCATCACTTACTTTTAGGAATTCCAGTCACAGACCAGGATCATAATGATTTAAGATTAGGTATAGATACAAAAACAATCTCACTGCTCTTGATTGTGATCATCCACCTCAGTACAGAAAGACTGCATGGTTTGTATCCAGACTGTAGAGACTATTGGAAAGGCACCATCCTTAAAAAGTATTTGTCTTTGCAGAAAGCTGCAGATACAGAAAAAAAAAAAAAAAAAAAAAAAAAAGAACAAATCAAAAGCCCCTGAACTGCTGGCATTAAGAAGAGAACAAGAAGTCAAGATTATAGCTGGGATTTCAGATTTTATGGAAACTTAGAAGCACCAAAGCATACTAATTCTACTGTGGTTCTGCACAATACCTTTCAAATACTTGGTTGAAAGTTGTGAGTTAAATAATTTAGTCTCTCATCCCATTGTTGCACCTGGAAAGTTAGCAAAATAGGAAAATTAGCAAAATTAGCAGAAAGAAAATGACCTGCCTATAGGTATCCAGTTACCCTGAAAAAGCAGGAACATTTGAGGCACATTTACTTGGAGAGAAAAGTCTTTATTGCTGCAATTTCATAAGGCACAGCTGCTCTCCAAGGACATCAGTCTTTTATAATTCCTTTAATAGAAAAAGTATTTGTTAATAGCAGGTAATAGTAAACTTTTATTGAGGAGAGTAAGTGGTGAAATATTTATTTAAAAAAAAAAAAAAAAACAATGAGGATTTTGGATATAAAAAAGCCCCTGAAATAAGTTAGGGTACTTGAGCAGTCTGAAAACATCTTCCTCTGTAGTCACAGAAGCCACAGAGAAACTATACCAAATGCAAAATGAGAGTAAACTCTTCTTGTGCATCTTATGTAGACACCTGTACTTCAAGAGCACCTTCACACCACAGAGCTGAAATTCAAATAAAAGCAGTTGCTCACATCTCCAGAGATGAAATCCAACGACAACAGAGAACTACTCACTTCATGCACCAGAAAAACAGTGTCTGCAGGAGGCTTTTCTCCTACTTCAAGGCAAACATTTGGAGTGAAGTAAGAATTCTCAGTCTCAACTTTCAATGCAGTTTTCAGATCAAGCTCTTGTAAAGATGGGTCAGTGTTGCCTGGTCCTCTTGAGAAAAATCTCATGCATATAATCCCAAAATCTTCCCTGATGCGACTCATTCCGATGAATCATAGCAGTAAGGGCCTCACCCTGATCCAGGCTTTGCCAATAATCCTGCAGCCACATCTCTTTCCAACTGAAACACAAAAAGAGACATCACCATAAACCATTAAAAAAACAAAAGGGTCTGCAGCTGTAATAGCAGTAAAACCTTTTTTTTTTTTCTTTCACCTAGGAGGAAAACAGGCCCAAGGTCATGACAAAATGTGTTGTTTATGTGCCATTGCGCTCCAACTCATTTAAAGGAGCTTGCCATGAGAATTCACTATGAAAAACAAAGTTAATATTAGCTTCAGAGTATTTTAGAAATACCAGCATTAACCATAGAGTTAGCCAAAGCAACTAAACTATTCATTGTTGAGAATAAAACCTTGTATTAAAATAAAATCTTACAGAGTCCTCATATGATTTTAAGAGTAGCTTTCCATGGCCAGTATGCATATTGCAGCAGTTAGACTAGGAATCAATCTTTTCGGACAAAACATTTAACAACTACAGAATTACAGCTAGTCATTACAAGCTCAGGTAATGCACAACAGAGAGAAAAATCTCCATGTCCCTCAACTGACTTTCTTCTTTATCTCCAGACCATGTGGCTAAGTACATCATTTCTTTTTCAATGCACATATTCTTGAACATTTCATAGCACAGACAATGTCACAATTCCCGTCCCATTCATGATCTGGTGGACTACTGCTCTCATTTGTATTATATTGAGGTATAACAATAATTTAGCTAATAATTAATATCCTTCCTTCTTATGATTAACTGATTATCTTTTCTCCATTACAGCTGCTACCCAGCCATATCAAACCATCACACATTCCAGCAAGAAGGATCAAAGGTTATGTTCTTTTTAATTTGTCCATGAGAGTTGCCCAATACTTGTTAATTTATCTACAGAACTTTTGCTTCTCCTCCTAGTCACAGAAAAAAGTACAGTGCCTTCCACATTCACTCTAGACACCATATATTAAAGCAAGCATGACTGCACTGCCCAGAAGCAGATCTCACCCGTTATACTGGGAACAGCAAAAGAAATGCAGAACGCACATCAGTGGGACTTTCATTGTGAAGCAGCACACAACATGTATGCCATAAGAATTAGTTTTTGGGAGTCAACAGTGTCATCTACAGTGGGACGTTTCTGCAGAGTACACCAACAAAGACCTCAAAATAAAGCTTTTAACATCGATTACCATGTGAAGGATCACAGACTGCGACTTACTTCTGCATACAAAAAAGTCTGCCTACAGGTTCTTTTGTAAAATGAATCACTTGGACATACCATGAGATCATGCTACTTAACAACTAAATTCATTAACTTCTGTTCAAGGATTGCCAATATGAGTTATATGTTTTTTAGAGCACACATTAGGAAAGCAAGTATACCAGCATATGTCCTAGACACAAGGATAAGAGGCAGCAGGTAACAGAAAAAATAAAATGTTCTGCAGCTGAATTCTATGGCAACACTGAAATAAATTCCAATATCCAAGTGAACACTTTGTCAAAAACATTAAATGAACACGACATTTTTCTTTTTACACTGCTCTTATTGTTTTTAAGAAACAAATTTTACTCTGATTCTGTAGCTTGAAAAAAAAAAAGGTATACCAGGATGAACAGGACTGCACAAATATTCTGAAATTATCAACTACATCCACTGAAACACTATGACCATGAGCTAAGGATCTATCTTAATATTGGTTGTTTTTTAAATTCTATTGCAAGGGACACCTTACACTGGCAAAGGTAATACCCTTCTAAGCTCTTTTTCTCTCATCCTAAATAAACTGTGACATCAACATAAAATAGAACTAGCAAAACTATGATGGTTTCAAAGTATTTCTTTATCAAAGGCACACTGGCTTCTCTGTTCTTGAGAGGATAAAAAAAGAATGCGATACTGCAGATTAAAACTGTTTAGGTAACTAGAAAGGTGCTGTCACTTAGTCTTTTTAAATTTATCCTTGCAAATTCTCTGCCTTTAGAAAATGAATCCATATCACGGAAACAAACAAAACATTTCTCTTCACAAAGGTGATGAGAAACCATTATCCAGTCCAAGAATAATTGCAGGTTCCAGTTCCTATTGAACAGATGTTCCAATCACAAGGAGCACCGGAACTCACTATTTTTTTGTACAAAGCAGACAAGAATTCAATAGATCATAGCTAACAACCTGTATCCTAACACATACAAATGGTTATTCCACAACATTTTTTACATTTATTTTGGTGTGAAGCCCAGAAGTCCAAACACAAGTGAGGCTGAAAGCATAAGGATCTAGGGAACACATCTCCACACTCTGAGCTAAGGACAGCAAGGTGAAGATAATAATTTGCTCTGGCTACATACGCTCAAGAGAGAGATTCTGTTAATTCAGCACATTTGTCAACACTAGAAACAAATTACATCCGTAAAATAAGAGTTAAAGCACATACAGATGTGCAGGGTAACCATATTGTAATTAGGTACTAGTTCTAAAAATATAGAGACTTTAATTGCCTCTGTTATTTTCTGTTCCAGAAGCCTCCAGAGCCCAAAGTCACCCTGTATGTTTATAGTCAGACTTTATATATTGGTTATGAGACAGAAGCCACTGTACTTCGCTGGAAATCATCTTAATCGTACCTCCGAAGGTACATAAACATTTACTTTTTTGGAGACATCTTATGTCTACAACAGTGGGAAAACAACATACTATGGTTCAGCGAGACACAGAAACCTCCATAGCATGCAGCTGTATCTTCAGTTATGGACCAACTGTACAGAACTCCTTGCTGATAACGACTACACAGAACGATGGAGTATCTTAATTTGTACGTAAGTCACATAGACACCCATGCTATGTCTTCTAAGGTATTTCTCTACTGCCATCTGCTGCTCAAGGAAAAGAAAATTTTTGAACAAGTAGAGAACACTCACTTTTATGGACTTTTATGGACTATGCAGGACACTGCACAGCACGTTATAAGGGAAAAGCACATTTTGCTATCAAAACTGAAAAAGGTATTGCTATATAAAAGCTCCAATAAATAAATCAGCCAACAGAAAACAAGAGATTAAAAAGGCATTTATCAGATAATCCTAGAATTTTCAGGCCCTTTTTACCTACAAGTATAACTTATCAATTACTCAATGTGATAATTATTTCTATTGTGAAAAATGCTTTTTAGTGAAAGACATCATATGTTTTGTGGAATAGGAATTTCCTAAAACAAACAAACAAAAAAAACACCACCTGAATTACCTCTGTCTTATTTTCCTTTTTTTCATTTCAGTTGGCCATTTTTTGAAAGCATCCAAACATATGAAGAAGCAGTTCCCTGCCCTTTCTTCCAGTTACAAAATGTTTCATAATTTTGTGGATGGATAACCTAACAAAAACTTTTTTAGAGCTTTATATCCACGCAGAATTTATTTCTAGGTTACGGAGTACTTGAAATGATGGAGTCTACATTTTCATCATCTCTCTAACATTTTAATGCTCTCAAGTGGTTCAATACCTTGGTCTACAGAAGTATTAACAAAGCTCTCAACTGATATAAGCCATGATAGAATATATTAACAACTTCTTTCTGGACAGGACATCAGATCTTTCCAGTATTTTCAAAAAGTCATTAATACTACAGTGGCACTAACAGCTGAAAATTAAAATCTTCGGTAACAGATTGGTAGCTATTGAACATACTGCAAGAAAGCTACAGCTGAGGGTTTAGCTTTATGATGGCTCAGAGAAACTGAATTGCATACGTTTGCATAATAGTCTAAAAGGACAGGAATCATTGCAGTTAAAGTGGAGAAAATGACAAACCTGGGGGATCTAGACATGTTATGCTAGTAATATGAACTATGAAAATCAAGTGCACTGTACTGGAAAATACTTGTCCTGGAAAACACTTGTCCTCCAAACAAACAAAAAGAAAAGGAAAGGAAAGCCAAAGGCAGACAAAGGATAACCAAATCACACAAGGTCACAGATCATTTGAACATATTACTAAGGGTCTCTCACATTCATCATTAAGCCACTAACCAACATTACCATTCAAGTCTCTTTTTCAGCTTCAGTGTCACACAACATGAGAACAACCATGCCGCCCACAAGGCATAATATGAATTGTAACTGGAGATGTATTAAGAGATCCTTCAAGTGCCAAGCATCATTGAAAATTACAGCTGCTATTATTTAAAGCTTTTTTCTTCAAAAAGCATAATACTGGTACATTACCTGTCTCCTCCAGAGAGGTCCTCAACACTTCCAAACCCAGGGGTTGGCATAGGGCATCCCATGTGCTGGAAATGAGCTACGCGAGGCCTAGGAGCTGGAACTTTCCCACGAGACTTTTTGTGTTCCTGCTCCTCTTTGATCCGGGCGTTCTCCCTGTCACAGACGAAACACTCGAAGCCATTCAGGTAGTTGGGCAAAGTCATGTCATTCACACCCCACTCCCGCCTCTCCAAGGTCTCTAACAAGAACTGGTTTTTGATTCCCCCGGGGTTTTTATACTCTAGATACTTCATGTATTCCTCTCCATTCTCATCCAGGAAATGAAGATACTTAGCCAGCTCTTGAGGGCTTTCAAAGTCATCTATAAGAATGATGGAGAGGTTGTTTGGCATCCAGTCCCGTACAGATGGGGAGCCTCGGTATACTGGGACAGCGCCCAAATGCATTGGACGCCACAGCTTTTCTGTCATGTAGTCATTACATATGGCATTCTCCAAGGCCAGGTGAAACTTGTACCTGGCAATAAAAGCCATAAATTCGGAATCTTCTGTAGTGGCTGTAGAAGTGTCTTTCAGTCGCTCACTGGGAAGCTCACGGTTATGCAGGCACTTCCCGTAAGAGTCAACCTAAAATAACAAGTCATCTTTACAAAAGGATTTTTTGCCCAGAGATTGTAGTCCTTATAAAATTCCTAATTTTGATCAGTTCCTAGCTACTTAGTTTAGCCTCACTTTCTCTCCAACTTCTTTCCATTTTGAGTACTCTAGAGTCACAGTTGTCCTTTAACAGCTGTAGAAGAAAATGAACGCTCAGCTTCAAAAGTAGCACAAACTACACTACAGATAAGGCAGAGGGAAACGCAGAAAAAAAATTAAAGAAAAATTGTACTTATTAGAGGATAGATCAGAAACTGAGAGATGAAGAAAGACATCCACCTTCCTCCATATTAATTTAAAAGTCATCTTTCTACTTAACAGAAATCCAGGGCTTTTCCAAACAGTGAATTCACACAGCTCCCTCAAATCCCAGAAAGTTGGCTAAAATATTTTCAATTTGTTAGACTGAAAAAATTTGATGGAGGGAGGTAGATAAAAATGAAAGACAGGATGCTTGATCTGGAGTCTGTTTTATACTTTGACAATGCAATTATATTTTTAAATGGTTTTGTCTTTTCTTCATTACTGAGCAAACGATGGAAAGAAATGAATCACTACCTTTGGAAACAGCAGAATTAGCTAGGAAAAGGATGTTTCAGATAAGGAGTAAAACCAGATGCTTTTTCCCTCATCTATTATCCTTCAGAATTTTTAAGAAAAAAGCATTAGACTGTTTTTCTACTCGAAAGAAACTGCATTATTTCAGTTCATGAAGCTACTCTCCATCAGCTGTGCCACAGCAGTGCAAATCACCATAGAATAACACAGTTCTACCAATGCAGGTGTGGAGCAGACTCTCAAAACACAGCAAATTTCTCATTACACGCTTATATTGTTAAATGCAGGCAAGGCTTGTAAACGGACAGCCTTCCTTTACGCTAACTTCAAGCTCCTGGGATCTCAGGAACTTCTAGCAAGACTGATCTCATTCAGGCTTAGTACAACTTGCGACTGACGCCAAGTCTGGCCAACTCCGTGACTAACAACTACCATCAGGCCTACCTACTGCCGCGTGGTGCAGTCTAGACCATGCTTTTGGGAGGCATACAACTAGTCTTTCTGTCCAGCTTGCGGTCGGCATGCTTCCCGTTACGACTCGCGTCTTGGCTAGAAACGAGGACAAACAAACCCCGTTAAAACGAGAACCTGCAGGCGGACGGGGGCGGCCAGGTGGTGCCACAGCCTCCCCGCACGGCACCCACCTGGATGTACTTCATGAGCTCCCGCACGTAGCGGTCCCTGTCCGAGGGCACGTCGCAGTGGGACTGCATGTACAGCACGGGCCCGTAGCCCCGCCGCCGCCACGCGTCCTTCTCGGCCAGGGCCAGCGGCGGGCCCCGCAGGTAGGCGATGCTGGGCAGCCACTGCAGGGTGAGCGGGTAGTCCGACTCCCTGCGGAAGGTGGCCGTGTAGTTGAAGAGGCGGATGCCGGGCGGGTGCGAGAGCAGGTAGTTGTTCATGGGGGACTCCTCGTGGAACAACGCCCACGTCTGGTGGGGCAGGCGGGGCAGCGGCGCCTCGTAGGCCCTGAAGTCGGTGCCGTAGAAGATGAGCGCCTTGGTGCGGCGGTGCCGCGCCACCCGCCGGCTGCGCGTGGCCAGGCAGGAGCCCCGCGGGCAGTCGATGCGCTCCGTGTCCCCGGGGAAGTGCGGGAAGAGGCTGCCGCTCCACCACAGCACGATGGGCAGCGCCTTGTTGCCCCGCGTGTCGTTGTTGCCCGGCCCGCGGTACGACGCCGCGGCCGCCACGACCGGGCCCGGTGGGCCGGCGGCCTGCGCCCAGCCCTCGGCCCCGCACGGCGCCTCGCCGCCCGCCTCCCCCTCCGCCGCCAGCACCCGCGGGCCGCCCCACGCCAGCGCCAGCGCCAGCGCCAGCCAGAGGCAGCCGGGCCCCCGCCGCGCCCCGCAGCCCCACATCGCCGCCTGCCCGGCCACGGCCGCCAGGAAACGGCCGCCGCGGCCCCGCCCGGAGCCGGCCTTCCGCCGGGAGCAGCGCGGGGAGCGGCCGCCAGGGGCGGCAGGAGCACGGCGGGGACCCGGGGAAGGGGCTGGGGGGGGGGCCCGCCAGGAGAGCTCTGCCCCTCGGAGGAGGGTGATGGGGGCAGCGAAATGTAACGCCAGCCTGCTGAGGTTGTTGTGAAGCCTCCCTGCCCCCAACGCCCCTGCACCTCACGGCGTGCTGCCAGCTCACCCAGCGATAGCAAAAACGCCTCCAGCTGCTGCTACGCGGCTCCGGCCCCAAGCAGGCACGCAGACACTGCAAGAAAGTACAGCGAGTGTTATCTCCAGCTGGCGGCCACAAAGGGCAAACAAAACATCGAGGAACAGAACGGGTGGCGGGGAGGAGCTACACCTCAGCGCAAAGGTCACGTAAGGTGCGCTTCTCTACCAACCTGGGATAACTCGATACTGAAATATTATCGGAATGGTAAATTGATATTTGTATTTAGACTACATTATAAAAATCTAACAGAACAGTTCTAGATTTGCTAGTAATAGAAATGATATAAGCTTCAAATTCGTTCCCTTAAGAGATAATTACAAGTATTGTGGGATCAGATCAAGTTTGATGTAGGCAATAAAGGACACCTATTAGTAGTTACACAAGCAGAGAAGCACTCTCTGTTTAAGGAACAGGCTAAAAATCCTGGAATATTCATGTTTTCTTCTGGGAAGGTTGGTCTTAACGCTGCTCAGACTTGATTCAGAAGCATTATGGTCATCATATGGGTGCAGAAAGACTGCCCTGCGTGCCACCCTCGTCAGCTCCACCACTCGCTCAGTCCCAGCACAACAGGGGCTCAATCCCAGTAGACACTGGCTCAGCAAGGCAATCTCCATACACACTGTACTACCACAAAGGTTCCTGCAAGCACAATTTACTCCAAAATTAATGTACAAGATGCACAAGGCCCATCATTATTGCAATGTATCTGTCCAGTAGTGGATTCTGAACATAATGCACATTCTGTAGAAGAGACTAATCTGCAAAATATTCCATAGCAAACTAAGAAATTGGATGTTTCTAGCAATGACCGTCTTGTGCTTTCATACACACTGTTGCAAGGTTAGCAATGAAGTGTACAGTATCAATGCTCTAGGCTACAGTCCAGTTGCACTGCCAGTTCAATCTGAACTTTATTTCTGCAATTAGTCAAAAAAAGAAGAAAAAAAATCAAACCCCAAGAAACAGGAGAAAAGAAAATCAGCTTCCCTGTTATCTTGACTCCAAAGTAGTAACTCTATTTCTCTGAAAAATGAAGACTGCAGAAGTCTTCAAGCTGGCCTTGTCACAAGGTAACAGCAATACTTTTCCAATTAGACAAAAAAAAAAAAAAAAAAAAAAAAAGAACAGAAAAATGAAGTCTTTGCAAAATGAAAGTTCAGAAGGGGCAGAAAATTAAAACCGTTCATCTAAGCGAAGTAATACTGAGATTAAACAGCACCTTTTGTCTGTTGGCTCTTGCTGAATTTCTTACTGCCATTCACTGTGAATAAGAAAAAAAAGACTGAACCTGGTCAGCAGAAGATTGGATTGTAAAGGACCACTTAGCTAGACTTCAGCCCTTCCCATTTCCTCCCTCCCGCAAAATACAGGGTTTGGAAAAATAAGCAGTGTTTATTTACTAACAATGACATAAAATACATCTTAATATATTTTTATTTCTTTACAAATTAAAAGATGCATTGGAAAAAACAAGTGAAGAAAACAAAAGGTTCATTTATGATCTCATTTCCACCCCCACACCCCCCAATATTAATACTAGAAATTAGTATTTGTGGAAGTCTGTGGTTGCTGAGCCTTATATTCCTGGGAAGTTGTTTTTTCCCCCCCTCTGGTTAAAAATCCTCTAGATTTTGGGCTGGAGGCAACACATGGAGTAAAAAGTCAGCCACATTCATACAAAAATGAGGAAGGTTCTGTCATTGTGAAAGTTCCTCCATTACAATTTCCATACTCCCCTTTCTCTGTAGTGATGGGAGGGAAGACAAACTAGCAGCATTAGAAGAAAAATGGATTTATATACACGCTACAGTATATGGAACTAAAACCACAATCAAATATTTTTCTGATCTAAACAAGGACTTTCTTTTGAGATGTCAAGCCCAGGTCATATCTCCTTTAATCCACCCACACTTTTTCCTCATACTTTTAGTACTATTGGTGACTCAAACTCCTGGGTATTTTAGGAACACTTGGTAAGTGTTCAAGCTAAAATATACAAGCCCCCTTTCAGAAGTGAATAATCAAAGCCCTTAGGATTCTGAATTTGATTTACACTTGCTCCCTTTTCATAGGAGTCTTCTCATTCACCCTTGCAGAATGGAGTGGCAGAGTGGCCAAAATGGATGGACTAATCTGAGGTATTTTAGTTTAACAAACAGGCTTATAAAAAGGTTTTGTGCAAGCTGATCGCTAGGCTGAATGGGGGAGGGCATAAACATCCAGTGATGAAACTCTTCACTACGGCCCCGATCCTTTCCAGTAACTGAAATCAGGTACTTGCCATACCTAATACAGTACAGTCTAAATCTGTTTTTGTATCCCCTTCCTTCTAATACAGGGTCCAAAGCAGTCTCAAATTCGCATCAGTAAAACTCAAATTCCTGCTTGTTTGCTATGATTCAGAATAGCGTGGTTGAAAATGGCCACCTCCTTTTCATCCAGTTCCCACACATCACCTTGTTTAAAAGTATTTTCTGCTTAACCGTAAGAGGCTTTTGTTCCCACCACCATCTGGATAGACAGGTAAGCTCTGCAGAAGAAGAGAGGCCATGGAACATGTAGGACATCACGGAGCTGTGCAATGAGAAGGAAAGGAGTCACCACTCACACGAACAGGAAGCTCTGACTCTACCCCTATGCTGTTCAGAAGCTAGTTATTGTTGTTCACTGAACTATTAATTCCTCCAGTACAGATCTGCACAGCAACTTATAGTACAGGGACGATTGTGGAAAGAAATTTGCCCTCCTGCCTCCTGGCTTACCACTTATTTCTTTTTTCAAGGATTTCTGGTTCAGACAGCCACATGATACATTTGTGCTCTGCAATGTCACGTTTCCCTCTAAAAAGAGAAAGAGGCAAAATGTTTGGCTGCTTTAGCTACCATCACCTGACATGCCTCTTGTCCTCCCATCCTGCGCATCCTCTTCACACTTAGAGCATGCACACGCGCCCATACAAACACACAGCAACTACCAGAAATTTTGAAGAGTTATCGCTTTTTCACCCAATGTTGAATCATGTACAGTGAACTGAAAAAAACTACATTCATTACAACAGGATTAGCGAGCATGGGGGGGGGGTGAACTCCTGCCAAGCACAGGAAACAATTTAGATACAAGTAAAAGACCTGGTATCAAAGGCCTTTTTGTTTGTTTGTTTTTTTTAGCCCTCACCAGGAAAAAAGAAATTATCTCTCATATGGGACTGGGAAAGGTTGAAAGGATTTCTGCTTATGCAATGTGTATTAAAAATTATGGAATTGTACAGATTTCTACGTTGTCCTTTTTGAGGGCGCTGGGCCTTCTGATCAGGTCATTAGTGGAGGCTGAAATGTCACTGCTGAGTTCCAGCACCACTCCCTCCTCTAGCTCAGTAGCTGCCGAATCTCCTTGTGCATGTGACACAGGAAGTCCACATATGAAGCTCCCCCAGTCAGGCTCTTATCCTCCACCAAAAAGTGTTTGAAGAGCATTTCCAGCTTATCTTCTTGCTTCACAATTATTAACTGCAAACAAAAGCAATAGTGGATAGTTAACAGAACTAATGTTCCAGAGGAAAGAAAAAGAGAAAAAAATTAACTAGCTCAAAAAATCCAACAAAGATAACTAGAACCACTGCATATATTGCTTATGTGCTTTCACTTCTATAATTAAGTTGGATTAAGTCTCAGCCAAACTTAGAAGGAATTTACCGCATGGTATGTGGTTTGTGCAGTAGTATATTATGTCCGAAATAATTCTAGTTTCAGAACTACGTTAAACACAGAACTCCAAATCTAATACCTGAAGTTTTTTGAGATGCTTGAAAACTTATGTTTGAATCACAGTTTTAAGAGTAAATTCAGCATTAGCCTTTACATGAATAAGACTGGTATCACCTGCTCTGGTAAGAGTAACAGGGAAGGGGACTTAGAGCAATGAATGAGAGGCAACATTTTTACCTTCATGTAGCGGGATCTTTGCACCTGAAGCATGTCAACAATAGATCGTACTTTCTTTGAAAAGGGATTTTCCAAAACAGGCAGGGTATTCTGAAATTAAAAACATTCAATTCCCGTTAGACAAATAAATAGAGTGCAATTTAAAAGATCTCAGCAGTTTCACCGTATTATGTAACATTACAAATATATTTACCACCACTAGCATACCATTTATTTGACCTCAGCTAATTAAAAGAAAATAAAACATAGCAACAGAAATGAAGGTCAGTTTTCAGTCCCATTTATGTATCACCTGTTCTCCTTACTGTCAGTGGAAATGTGGCTTGTCAAATAAAGCCAGCCAAAAAAACGTCAACATGCCCAGATGAGGGATGTCTCCATTAGTTTCACATATCTGCGCTTCTCATTGTTAGTAAGAAGTAAATATCTTTAAATTTTTTCCCAACTTTCTTTCTCATTGTTTTAACTATTGAGTGATTATTATAGACAACATCTCCCACACTGTTACCCAGCTCACCAAAGTGCTGCTAATCTGACTGAAGGATGACACTCCAAAGAGGTTCTGGATCAGGCCTTGCTGCACATTCACTCCCACCCACACGAAGATGTTCAGCCCATTCTCCAGCAGGTATATGTCACCCTTGGAGAGACGTTCCTCTGAGTTGCGGATTGCTGCTGGTAAGGAGTCACTGTCAACATCTGCTTTGGTCTGTTTTAGAGTGAAGTAAAAAAAAAGTCAAGGTTATAAAATAAAAACATTAAGT